GTATAAGCAGTAGTACCATAATATTATAATTATGAGTAACAATAGATTTTGCTTGAAACGCCATAAGGATATGTATACTGTATAACACACTATGAGACTTTATCAAAATAAATTTTATTCATAATGGAAAGGGAACAAATATAAAATAATACTAGCATAGACAAATATGAATAGGCAAAGTGAGTCTGTCATTTTGTACAGTAAAATGCAGTTGTAATAATTATAATAGACTTTCAACCATATCACTAAAACTCCTAGTCACTATCCTGGGAACGGTCGGTCGGTCGGTTTTCGACATAGAACTTTGCACATATGTGCGGCAGTTCAAGTCGCCACAATCTATGTAGCACGCAAAGCAAGAGAAGAAAGTAGAAGAAATGCATAATATAGACAGTAAACAGAGGTGTGAGACAAAGGAATAGTAATAACGGAGAACAAAACAGTTTCATTGGAAATCATAAGTCACAAGGAGTGGATGCATCTGCGCCACTGAGAACGATTTTGAGCCATGTCACCAATTGTTTCCAACCATTGGTTTTTACCGTCCCGAGGACCATAACCAAGAAGTCTACATCTTCCCACGTGGCTTAGATTAACTGTTGTGGATTTCATTGATTGGTTCCATGTTTTTGTTTGACCGCCGCTAGCTCTTTTCCAGCCTGACCCTATATCAGCTAACATTGCCCGTCGAGGAAGGCGATGACTAGGCATACGTAGCACATGTCCTAACCATCTCAGTCGAAGTAATTTCACAGTCTCGTCGATTGATTTCCCCTCCTTACCTAGCACTCGACGCCTAACCTCAATATTGCTCACCTTATTATACCACTTCACACGGGAGATAGAACGCAGACACCTATGATCGAAGACAGCTAATCTTTTCATGTCTTCTGCTCTCAATGGCCAGGTCTCACAGCCATAAAGGAGGACGGAGCGGACTGTTGAGCAGTGCACACGCCCTTTGGTCGATAGTCGGATATCGCGTCTACGCCAGAGACGGCGAAAACTGGCGAATGCGAACCTAGCCCTCTGTATTCGTGCTGAAATTTCGTCGGAGATCAACCCGTTGGGGCTGATGGTACTTCCCAAGTAAGTGAAGCGGTCAGCGTGCTCTGCCACTTCATTTCCTATTTCTAATCTAGGGTTCGGTGTAGTCCAATCCTGCAGCATCATCTTACATTTTACAGGGGCGAATCGCATGCCAAACATACGAAGATTGTTGCTCAAGGTGTTAAGAATACTCTGCATTTTGTCAGAGTCCTCGCCTGGAAGGACTATATCGTCCGCATATTCTAAGTCAACGAGATTCTTCCCTGGTAGCAAGTCAATCCCTGAGTCGCTGAAGTGAGTTAGGGTTAAGTCCATTAGTACATCTATGATGAAATTGAATAGAAATGGGGATAATGGGCATCCTTGACGGACGCCACTAGTCGTCACCACTTCAGATGACAACTCGCCATAAGCCCTCACCTGGCTGCATGAGTACGAGTAGAGTGCCTTAATCAGTGCAATGTATTTTCTTGGCATTCCCTTTACAGCCAAGCATCGCCAGAGAACCTCCCGGTCGACAGAATCGAATGCCGCCTTTAGGTCAAGAAATATAATGATTGTCGGACGCCGGTAGGAATGCCTATGTTCTAGAATCTGTCGAAGGGTGAAGATGTGATCAATACACCCTCTACCTGGCCTAAAACCTGCCTGGTTTTCTCGTGTTTGTGTCTCCCGAGCACCACTTAATCTACGCAGTATTATTGAGCCTAGGATTTTAGATACTATATTAGTCAAGCTAATCCCTCTGTGATTATCACAAGACGACTTGTCCCCCTTCTTGTATATCGGGATGATCAGTGACTTACACCAACCCGATGGGACTTCCTCTGATTCCCAGACGCTGCCTAGAACCTCCGTTAACGCAGACAGTAAACTGTCGCCTCCGTACTTAAATACCTCTGGAGTCAATAAATCAGGTCCCGCTGCTTTGCCTAGCTTCAGATTGGTGACAGCTTTAGTAACCTCGGTTAAGGACGGAGGACCTGTGTCTATCTCCCATTCAGGGAGGTGTTGGATGTCCGGTAGGTTAAGTGTGGCTGTGGGCCAATTAAACTGCTCCTCATAGTGTTCTTTCCAGCGCTCCAGACGTCTATCCTGGGAGCTAATTATGGTGCCATTTTTCTCGGAGATTGTTTCGCTTATCATTTGTTTTTTACCACCTGTTTCCCTGATAAGCCTGAATAGTTGTCTGGTGTTGCCTATCGCCGATGCTTTTTCCATCTCTTTCGCCTTTGTCAACCACCACTGTTCACGGTCCTTGCGGAGACTTTTCGTAAGTTTCCTCTTGTGCAGCTTTCGCTCCTCATTGAATTCGGAGCCCGCCGGAATAAGTCTTCTAGCATCTATCAGTTCGGATGAGGCAGTTGAAATCCAGTGGTTTTTACTCACCTTTGGAATTACCTTATTCACAGCTTTTACAGCTGTATCTATGGCTGACTGAATATTCTTCCAGGCTTCTTCAGGGTGAGCGCAGCTGTCAAACTCAGATATGTGTTTAGCTAGTTCTTCCTCAAATAGGGACTTAGTTCCCTGGTCGAGCTGGGGACGTGATGGGTTTACCGCTCGCTGTTTCCTACGTCCGTTCAGTCGTAAGCACACACGAGCGCGGACCAGTGCGTGATCGGTATCTACACACGTGTTCCAGAAGGAGCGACAATCTCCTACCGACCCACGCCAACGATAGCTTATTGCTATGTGGTCTATTTGTGTCCAGCGTTGATTTGATGATGGGGGTCGCCAGGTCAGACAGTGTCTCTCCTTGTGTTTGAAGTTAGTGCTTACAAGATACAAATGATTATCTGAACAGAACTGTAGGAGACGGTCACCGTTTTCGGTTCGCTGGCACGGAATTCCGTATGTGCCACCAACATTCTTCTCAGAATGGCACAATTTCCCTACTTGAGCATTAAAGTCACCAGCTAAAACGACTATATCTGAGCGTCTAGCCTTTCGCAGCAAACTAGACAGCTTTTGGTAGAACTCATCCTTCGTTTCATCCGAACTGCAGTCAGTGGGGGCGTAGGCGGAGATTACGAAAAGGCATCGGCGAGTAGTGCAGTCCTTTCTCCTTTTCACTGATCCGTTCAGGCGGACAGCGCACATTCGGCTATCTACCGGGATCCAGTCAAGTAATGTCTTTTCTGCTCTAGTACTTAAAGCTATCCCAACACCAGCTAATCCTCGTGAGCTAGCCGTCGCATCTCCTGACACCCTCAAGGTGAATTTTGCAGATTCATCCTGTTGGCCAGGTGGGGTTAGGTGAATAACCACACTTGGGTCTTGTATGCGTGTTTCTGAAACACAACAAACATCAATGGCTCGGGATGCCAGAGTCTTGGCTAGTGATGCTTGTTGTCCTATTTGGCAAAGTGTCCTAACATTAAATGCTCCTATATAAAATTGGTGGCGTGGTTTTAGGAGACAATCGGTGGTGGCTTTTTGGATTCCATCGTTATCAGTGCACACAGAGTGAAGGGGAAGTGAAGAGCCAACAAGTAGAGGAGTTGCATTGGTAGAAGGAAGGCAAGATAATAGAGATGAAGATGAAGACAAAGATGAGCGAGGATTAGAGGGGTTTCGCGTGCACTTCGGATTGTGAGGGCGATTGGTACTTCCCGGTTGCCCACACCGTGGAAGTTGGTTGCGTGACCGCAGAGCCCAGGGGACAACTGCTTGAGGCCGGTCACACACGGCCTGTTTTTGTTTGTTGTTTTTTATTTGATGTGTCTCAGTAGCGTATTTATCACTTCTGCCCTGTGACACGGCAGCAGAAAGCGCGGTCGTTGTTAATCCGGGCCCCGACCGATCCGGCATGATATTTTGTGATTTATTTGAAATCATAGGATTGGATTGGGTAACTGCTTTTTGTCTAACTGCTATCCAAGCAACCTTTCTGGCATGGTAGGACCTGCAGGAACATAAGTTCCAGCCAGTATAGCTTGTTGGGTCATTGCAGTGTTCAAGCCCGACCACCACGTCAAGGTAGCAGCTTTCGGTCGGGCCAGACAATCTGCATTTCAACAATGAATTACTCCATGGATCGATATGGTGTTTCTTAGTCTAACCGCCAGCTTTAACTCTTTTCTGACATAATTGTATTTGAGTTAACAGTGTAACCCTTGTTTCAGTTGTTATAGTCAATAAAAACTGTCATTAATGTTTGTAGTTCACAATTTTTAATGTTTTCAACTTGTGATACCTCTAAAAGCGTTTTAATAATTAAACAGATTAATACAGCACAATTTCATGTACTACATTCATTCAGACATCTATCTATAAAACACAAAAAAATTGAGCAAAGAATATCTTTTTCGATAATTTCCTCCTCTTCTGGCTCTACAATTATATATATGTGTGTGTTTATATACATTGAATATTCTAGAATAGTAGTCAATTACAATATTAGTGTTTCTTCAAATAATATCGATTTATTAAGTAAGATCACTATGGAATTACAGTTCATTAAAGATGCTTAAATCATATTAATAATAAAAATATAATAGGAAATAAAATATCAACTAAAATTAAGGAAATTTCCACGAAAATTGAGGATCATTCAAACCTAGATGGCCAAGGTAAAGATAATGTCTTAACTAGCTTCTTTTGGACGCATAAATTAGGCTTCTTAATGTGGATTCCAACATCCTCAGCAATATTTAATAATCGAGGCGAAATTGAGATTTGTTGGTATGCAGTAAATGACCTCGAAAGCACGGTTAAAATCAGTCTTGTGTTCCGTATCCACAAGATGAGTGAGATAGAATAGCTCTGCGAATAGATTTTGTTTGTCCTTTACTTAACCACCACACAGGGTGATGTTCGGAAATTCGACGAGAAGCACGCCTAATTGTTTGGTCTATGTAACTGGCTCCACAGGAGCAGTTTTCTAGATCCCCGTCTCGTATTGTATTGTATTGTATTTTTCTTTCTCTCTCTCTTTGATTTGATAGGGTCATCCAGTTAACGTTCCAGATGGTGCTGGTTGGTTACCGATTCATGAGGCAGCATTTCACGATAGATCAGAGATTGCAACTTATCTACTTGATCGTGGAGCTCGTCTAGATGATCCAGGCTATCCAGACGACTATTCAACGCCACTATTTGAAGCTGTTCACAATGGTAGTTTGACAACTGCTTTAATTTTTGTTAACAGAGGTGCTAATCTCTGGCATAAGTAAGTTTTATATATATTACCTAGAAAGAAACTATAAATTTGTATAGATTATCTTAAGTTTTCTTCATTTTCACGCAGGTTATAACTACTTAAGTGTACTGTTTAACAGCTGAACTCTGGAATCCAGATATACAAAATGGCACATACCCTCCTGGATTTCACTGCTATATCTAGATCTCTGTGCAGAGTCAACTGATTGACCGACTGTCTGTCTGTCTGGATTCAACATAGAACTTGACACCAAAGTGCAGCAGTTCGAGTTGCCACGTTCCAAATACCACACAAAGGTAGACAAGAAAATGAGTGAAGAGAATCAATAGAGTTTTGACGAGTATAAGAGTGAAACAGAATGAGTAATAGTAGAAAGGAATATGAAAGATTACAGAGACTGAATACATCTGCGTAAGCCATTGACAATGATTTTGAGCCATGTCACCTATTGTCTCCAGCCATTGATTCTTAGAGTCCCGAGGGCGGGCCCCAACCCGGAAGTCTGCATCTCCCTACCTGACTCAGTTTAACTGTCAAGGATTTCATGGATTGATGCCATGTTTTTGTTTGGCATGGCACCACTTACTCTTTTCCAACCAACCTGCACCTATATCAGCTAGTAATGCCCATCGGGGGAGGCGATGGTTAGGCATGCGCAGCACGTGACCTAGCCATCTCAATCTATGTAACTTTATAGCCTCTTCGATTGATTTTCCCTTTTTGCCCAACACTCTACGCCTAACGTTAACATTACTTAACTTACTTATTATACCACCTAACGTGAGAAAGAGATCGTAGACATCTATGATCAAAAACAGTCAACCTTTTCATGTCTTCAACCCGTATTGGTCATGTTTCAGAGCCATAGAGAAGGATGGAGCAAACTGCTGAGCAGTAAACACGTCCCTTGGTTGTTAGCCGGATGTCACGCCTATTGCTAGTTAGCGAAAGCAGCTCGAGCTTTTTGGATCCGTGCTGAGATTTCGTCGCCAATCAATTGACCGACTAATAGAGATCACCATACACCCTTGTACAGACGTGTATGACTTCCACTTCCCGAGCTCTGAAATATACAAGAGTAGATGAGAAGTAGAACATTGTTGCAATGAACAATAGTGTGTGTGTGTGTGTGAATAAGGAAATAATTTTATTTTAAATAACAGCTTATAAACTCTTGTTAAAGCTTTTGTTTGTGAATTTCCCTAACACTGGAGTTATAAAGGTGAAAAATATTTTGTTAATTAATCTTATTCTTATTGAAAATGTTACAAAGAATAAAAAAAGATTAATTTTCAAGAGTTGGTTTCTTGGGATTTGATGTGTTTAAAGTTTGATCAAGGATTGATATCAGCTAGAGAACCGTTGAATACCAGTCACATGAGGAGTACTGGACAGCTGTTTCAACCTAGTCTGGGACTCATCTCCTCGGTTTTCAATGTCTTTCTCTAACCGACATCAATCCCCGGTCAAACTTCACACAAATCAAACCCTGCAGATTAATCTGATGCACGCTAGTGACTGACTGGCTGCAGGACGAAGTTGCTTGGAGCTCTAGAGTGAGAATTCGGGACTAGCGCAGTCCACCTGGACAAATACTAACCAGCGATGACAAATGCTGTTTGCTGTTTGTTACATATAACTGATTTCTTCCTTCACGAAGTCCTGTATTCATTTAGTGCTACCCACCAACGAGGGTTTGAACCCAGGACCTCCTAGTTACAAGACAATCTCGTAGACCTATTCGGCCATGGGGACCCGAGTCAATAGCCAACAGAAGGCTGACTTGTTACATAATAGTTTGAGGTATTTTTGTTGTCAGTTTGACTGGTGGTACTTATGTAAAAACTGTTAAAGGCAGGCGTTTACTGCGCAACAGTTAATTGTTTCCTGATTTGGGATTTTAAAATACACGGTCAACAATCTAATGCATCGTTGTTCCGTCTTTTGCATTGAATGATAAGTGAAATTGGAAGTTGAATATGTTATGTAATCGATTCAATATCTTCCGTGACTAAGCTGACTGAGACACCTGACCAATCACTACTACACATCTTGCAGCATTAAACGTACACTTAGAAGTTGAAAATAAAATTTAAAAAATTAGATCTTAATCAGCGTGATGCAATAGAATCTCCTAGTGATCATATTGTTCATCTGAAATGGTTGGAGGCGATAGGCTTAATGTTGTCACTCGTCAGCAAGCCGAGTATTTATATGGTGAGAGCTGTCTGCTAGCCAAAATTGGTAGACACCAATTTACGTCAATGTTTACGTCCTAAATCGGGGTCATGAGAAAAGAACAAAGACTAACTCAACAACCAGTCACAGTGGGCTTTGCGTGGGCGGATACGATTCGCAGATATATGGTCTGACCATCAAAGAAACGGCCGCAAAGAGATGATAGAATAACTTTCAGCGAGAAAACAACCAATCAGAAGACTCTGTTTCTCTGCTAATAATAACGAATAATAATGTACATAAAAATAAATAAATATCACTTGATTTCCTCAATAAATGATCTGTTGTCTGACCCTTGTCTTCTGTCGTTACATTATATACTTGCAACCTCGAAGGATCTGATGTCTCCTCGACGATTTTGGGGGACTTGTGTTGTTACCCACTTACTAACTGCAGAGATGTTACCACTGAGGTGGTCACGCAGCACTACTAAGGAATAGATGAGTGACTTAGTAAAGGAATTCTTATTTTTTTTTCCTGCACGTTCCCCAGTGGAACATAGGGCACCTTCAAGCTAGTGGCTTGAAGTTTCTGTAGCAGTGTTTATTTTACAGGATGGAGTTGCTAGCCTCATGCCCAACCTTTCCTCTTCACCAGCATTATTTCTGGCTTAGCGAGGTAAAGGAGTGCGTCTGTGGCCGGGGATCGAACCCCAGACCATATGCATGGTCGGCGAGCGCCTTAACCGCTATGCCACCGACGCTATTTGGGAATTGGTATCTGTATATAGCTAAATTGTATGTACCCCTTATCTTCAACGCACCATTTGCACAGATCTTCGTGTTGTGGTACTTCTGGACTTCATGCTGTGTTTCTTTGTGTTCCTTTCACATCTCCAATGTATCCACACAACGCTGTATCATTTGCCTTCTCTGAAATCAAATCTATCTCCCTGTTATTTAATGTTTTTATGCCTTTGAATGTCTCTTTATATACTACTGATAAATCTTATCAGTAGCGCTCGCCACAATGTGACCAATCAATATAAATAATTCTTATTGATGTACACTTTTCTTTTGCTCTCCTTTTTTCATTTAGGAATAAACAAGGTGAATATCTGCCAAATTTATTAGATCAATGGGAACCAACACGTCATGCATCAGGGACATTTGCTGAACAACGCGTAAAATTTAATGAATTGTTAACAGCTATTAAAAATCGACTTGGAGGTGTGTTTTTGAAGTTTTTACTATTACGCATTTATGATTATCTAAAACGTAACATAAACTTTTTTATAGGTTATTGAATTGAATTTAAGATTTTCCCGTCGATTGATTGGACCGAAGTGCTCGATCTTAAGTTGACATGTCGGCTTATTGTGCAGATGCTTCAACGATGTCTGGGCATGTAATTAGGATTTAATTGGTGGATGGTGACTAGGAGTGGAATCCAAGGTGCGTCGGTGGCATAACGGTTAGGACGCTCGCCGACCATGCATATGGTCTGGGGTTCGATCCCCGGCCACAGACGCAATCCTTTACCTCGCTAAGGCAGAAATAATGCTGGTGAAGAGGAAAGGTTGGGCATGAGGCTAGCAACCCCATCCTGTAAAATAAGCACTGCTTCAGAAACTTCAGGCCACTAGCTTGAAGGTGCCCTATGTTCCACCGGGGAACATGAAGGAAAAAAAACTACTTCTCTACCTGATTCAGTATGGCTGGATTGACAGGGGAACTGGTTGAGCAGTTGGTAATGATAGATAAACGAATAGCAACAGATTATTCATGCATAGAAAAGCTCGACACTACTCCTGGTGAATGCAGTGAAATGATGACTGGTTAGAAGCCAGGTCTTGATTACCAGCTGGTAGATAGCTCCAGGATGGTTAGTAATCAGAAGGCCACACTAATTTGAATCCTGCCGCAATCTACGCCTTCATCAACCTAAAACCAGTTTGGAAATCTTCTGTACTGCACTCAGTCAGCATAAAGAACAAGATTCGGATTTTCACAACAAATGTGGAGTGAGTCAGTCAGGGAGTTCTACTGCATGTGCCAGAAACTTGGCCAGTGCTTCGCGAAAAGGATTTCCAACAGATGCCTCCTTCGCTACCTCCATATTGAAGATCAAATGACCGGCTGTGCGGAAAGCATTAGCAACAAGAAACTATGGGAACAAACCGACTAAGCATCTAACATATATGTAGTAGAAAATGGAAATGGATTGGGCATACATTGAAGAGACCGTCAGATAACATCGCGCGCAATGCAGACCATCGCTCGAGTGGAACCCGAATGGGAAATGATGAATTGGAGGGGTCGTCGGTTCGAGGGTGACATGGAAAAGATCGTGCGGCTAGGTGGAGATAAGAGATTACAGGCAATGATGAGCCCAGATGAAGAGGACAGCAGAAATTAGAACAAAGTGAAGATGTTTTCTTGAAGTGCTGTGTTCTACTCGGAACCCAAGGGAATAATAACAATATATGATAGCCAGCTGTCAAACGCTGTTTAGAGGAGAAAATAGTAAGCAGTCAATGATACTAGCATCTGTTTGATTATAGGTATAGTCTATGAGAACAAATCGTTTTGTTTTCTCATGTTCCAGATTAATAAGTTATATGTATCGTTCCGAGTTTCATAAGACTACTCAGTTGCAAAGACTGAAGTCGATGTAACAGGTTTTGGATCCCTGAATACACTGGTTGAAAGTCAATTACTTGTTTTCTATGTAAATACTTCGAAGAAAACAACCTGAATATTGGATTACCTACCACCAAGCTAAAAGAACTCCTACTCAGATGTACCCTAAATGTCCAGTTCACATTCAATGGGAACTTCTATAGACAACAAGATGGCGTAGCGATGGGATCACCTTTGGGTCCGGTGCTGGCTGATATTTTCATGGCAAGTTTGGAAAACGGTCTGCTGAAAGCAACCATCGACAAATTCTTCTTATACAAAAGGTATGTCGATGATACTTTCGTCATCTGCGATAACAATTGTGATCAAAATATTGTTCTTCAAGTTTTCAATAGTTGCCACCCCGCCATCAAATTTACATTCGAAGTAGAAACCAATGAGACAATCTCCTTTCTGGACGTTCGTTTAAGTAAGAAGATCGATGGTACCTTGAACAGATCAGTACACAGAAAACCTACGTGGAACGGTCAGTTGACAAACTTCTACAGTTGGGTACCAATTAGTCGCAAGCGAAACTTGATAATATCTCTGGCCACTAGAATCCAAAAAATCTGCTGTCCTGAATCAATAGAGGAAGAAATCGCCCTCTTAAGGAAGACACTGCTCGAGAATGGCTACCCACCCCGTTTTATAGACAAGCATATTAAGCCTAAGACGTACAAAGAACAACCCATTACAATGCAGAAGAAGATGGTCTACATGAATGTACCCTTCAAAGGTGACCTTCTGGCTGACACCTTGAAGAAGAGGATATCTACTGCTCTCAGAAGGACATTCTTCGCTGCCACACTACGACTGACATTCTCCTCCCGGCCATTGTTCTTCAACTACTCTAAAGATAAACTATCGCATTTGACCAATTCCATGTGAATCTACCAATTCACCTGCTCTTGCGGAGCGAGGTATATAGGTCGTTCGATGCGTGTTTTATCTAAAAGAGTTCAAGAACACTATCCCGCCTGGCGACGGAAAGGTAACAACGGAGCAATAAGGAGCGCCATTATTGAGCATATACTCAACACTGGTCATTCGATTTGCAAGGAGAAGTCGTTCAAAGTCATCTATAAAGTCAAAAGAAGCCTTCCAAAATCGACAAGCTTCCGTATACTTTGTATTGCTGAAGCCTTAGCGATTTGGATGGAAAAGCCTGATTTATGCACACAGAAGAAACTTCTCCATCCCCTCCTACTACCGTGGGTTTAATTTCAAGTTTATTTGTCATCAACATTTTGTTATCAAATTTTGTTTTCGCAATTTTCGTATAATAATTTTTAGTAACTAACCCATTCAATCTCTTCACCTATTATCTAGTTTATTTTCATAATTGTCTCCAAACTCCTTCACTAGCATCTAATCTTTCTAAACATGTCTATATTACGTAACCCTACTCACATCTTACCAATCTTCACCCCACTTAGTTGCAACTTTGATTATTAATCACACATTATTTTGATGATATAATCAACAACCCACACTAACTGTTATTTTGATTTTGACAAACCTAATGTACACACACACACATAAAATAATTGTATATATATTTGCGACTGTACAGCTAAGTGAATGAATTCGCCGAAAAGAGACTCTTCGCTGAACTAATTTGTTCTTATTTCAATGTCTTAATGGGTATATTTCGCGAATCAATTACTTAAGCTTACTCACTACATCTCACCAGTAAAATATCATTTTATATATCATATTATTCAGTGTATTTACTCATCCAATTATTCCTTGATAAACCGCTGTCTTCCACTGCAATTATTTCTTACTTTAAACCTGTACCTGTAGATGATTATGATCGTTGGTGTAATCTTAAAAGTGAAATTTTAGAAGTTGATCATTCTTCTACTGAATCTGCTGATTCACCTGAATCAGTGAAACATTCTTCAACATTTCGTTCAAATCGTCGAAAATCAAAGCATTATTATTATTCATCTTCACTTTGCGATATCAATGAAACCCAGTCGATACAATCATCATCATCATCATCAAATGTGAATAGAAGAAAATCTTTACGCGGTAGGAATTGGAAAGATTTACTTGTCGACTTGGATGAAGATTCTCAATCTTCACCTCCGATCATCAATTCGAAGAAAGCCAATGTGGATGCTGTAGAATCATATAAAGCAGCTATGAAAGCTGTTGGCAGTTCAAAAACAGTGTAAGTTCACTCTTACCGTGTTTGTTAAATTAATCTTCTTTCCTTTTTTAAATTATTATTTTGATTATAGCTTGATTCCACACTGTATGTATTTTTGGTACAAGTGTATGGAATTTTCAGCATACATGATATCGGTAGCCTAAATTTTGCAGGCTGACCACCAATTGATATGAGGTGTGCGTCGACAGGGGATCGAACCCCGGACCATATGCATGGTCGGCGAGAGTCCTAACCGCTGTGCCACCGACTCACAGTAGTAGAAAGTGTGAGGATCGATAGTGTGCGTATTGTGGTCAGTTATTTTTTAACTGACATGATATATTGGCTTAGGACATCTCCCTCCAATTGACTGCGAACAATTAAACACCAGGCTGAATGTATCGCTACACGGCATTTTACTTGGTGTAGTAACCTCACAGGATGACTGAAAGTACAATCTATCGATATAATCTACCAGTTTTCAAGTCTGTCTGTCTGTTTTCGACATAGAACTTTGCACCGATGTGCAGCAGTCCAAGTCGCCACACTCCCTTCATGTTGAGCACACAAAGCAAGAGAAGAAAGTAGAAGAAATGCATATTAGAGACAGTAAACAGAGATATGAGGCGAAAAGAATAGTAATATTGAAGAACAATATAGTTTTATTGGAAATTATAAGTCACAAGGAGTGAATGCATCTGCACCAATGACAATGACTTTGAGCCATATCACCAATTGTCTCCAGCCATTGGTATTTACCGTCCTGAGGACCCCAACCAGGAAGTCTACACTTTCCTACGTGGCTGGCTTAAACTAACTGCTGCTGTGGATTTCATTGATTGATTAAGCCATGTTTCGGTTTGACCACCAGTGGATCTTTTCCAACCTGAACCCATGTCAGGTAACATTGCCTGTCGAGGAAGGCGATGGGTAGGCATGCATGCGTAACACATGTCCTAACCATCTCAGTCGATGTAGCTTCACAGCCTCGTCGATTGATTTCCCCTCCTTACCTAGCACTCGACCGATGCATAACCTCAATATTTCTCACCCTATTATACTTAACACTTCATAAGGGAGATGAAATGCAGGCACCTATGATCAAAGGCAGCTAGCCAGCCAGACTTTTTATGTCTTCCACTCTCAACGGCCATGTCTCACAGCCAGCCATAAAGGACGACGGAGAGGACTGCTGAGCCGTACACCCGCCCTTTAGTCGATAGCCGGATATCACGTCTACGTCAGAGACGGCGTAAACTGGCATATGCGAAACTAGCCCTCTGTATCCGTACTGAGATTTCATCAGAGATCAACCTGCTGGTGCTGATGGTACAGTGAAGCGGTCAACGTGCTCTACCACTTCACTCCCTATTTCTAATCTAGGAGTCAGTGTAGTCCAGTCCTGTAACACTTCCAAAAGCACACGAAGCCTTCCTGATTTTTCAAGTAATGAAGAAATTTTGTAGCTCAGGTAGGAATGCCTTCGAATGAGTGAATTGCAATGCTTTTTTCATTGTCCTTCTGCCTAACATATTCTGTGATAATTTCAATTTGAGGTGAGCTTTACGAATCGCCCATCTTTCTTGGTGACTGCCAATGTAATCGAATCTCCCAAGGGCTTTTACTTTCTGTCTTTTACAGGATAAGTTCATACAGTCACAGATGAACACTCTTCTATTATTATTTACTAGTTCTTATTTATCTACTGATTGACTCACCGATTCAAGTTTAAAGATATTTAAACCCAAATCCACACGATCTAGACAACTAATTCTTATGAACTCAAACACAGATTAGATAATTTAAAATTAGATAATGAAGAAAAAATGGTTAGTTTTGACATTGTCAGTTTATACACACGTATACCAATAAATATGGCTATAGAGGCAGTCAGAAACGAACTCATTTCTGACCAAGAACTCGAACTTAGGACAAAAGTGCCACTTGAGGACATAATGCTGGGAGTACAGCTATGCCTGACTTCCACAGTATTCAAATTCCAAAGGAAAATATACAACAATGGTCATAGGTAGATATATTCATGGATAAATGGGAAAGCATAGCGATTGAAACGTCCACCCTCACCCCAAAAGTATGGTGGAGGTACGTAGATGACACATTCACTGTACTTAGAACACAAGATATAGATAGGTTTTTCGAACACATTACCTCGAAGGTTGAAGCAATTCAATTCACTTATGAATTGGAAAATCAGGAAGGGGAGCTCCCTATGTTAGATTGCAACGTAAAGAGGAAAGAAGATGGGAAGTTAAACACTAGTGTTTACAGGAAACCCACACACTCAAACAGATATTTGGACTTCCAATCATCCCATCATATGTCAGTAAAAATAGGATTGGTGAAATGTTTAAATGACAGAGCACAAAAACTAAGTAGTACCAAAGAAAATCTAAAACAGGAACTGATACACATAAAAGAAGCTTTGAAACTTAATAATTACCGGATAAACACACAACAATAAGGAATCTAAATCATCAGTAGTAATTCCATACAAGGAAGGAACCTCGGAAGCCTTACGCAGAATTCTTAACAAGGCAGGAATAAAAACGGCATTCAAACCCACAAACTCAATTAGAAACAAGCTTTGTCGGTTAAGATCTATATTATTTTTATTTTATTTTGATCACAGCTTGATGCCACACCGTATTTTCAGTACAAGTATGGAATTTTCAGCATGGATATCGGTAGCCCAAATTTTGCAGGCCGACCATAGATATCGGGTGTACGTCGGCAGGTATGTTGGCACATAGAAACTAGTAGAACAGGGGCAGTCAGACTAGCTTAACATAAAAATTACAAACTAATTGGATCCAAATAAGATAAGAAATCTAGAAATTTAATATAATGTTAGGATATAATAGAGCTTTGTTTATCGAATCAACTGCAAATAGGTGTAATAGGAATGATTCAACATCTTCATCTGAATCTATTACCCAAGAGACAAAGAAGAAAAAAATATATATGATTATGAACAATAATTTGTTCGAAACATTAAGTTTAAAGAGTTTATCTCATGTTTCACTAACTCTAATATCCATCGAAAGAAGTTTGGGCAGCTGCTGCTGCTACCTTATATAATATCACTGAATTTGTGTTATTTTGATTTACTTTCTTAATAAATATTTCCATTCAAATAATTCAACCATGCAACTAACCATCCGATCAATCAATCCATCAATCAAGTAGTTCTACTGGTAAACGTCATTCCCTTTGTGATCCAGACACATCAGAAACAAGGAAACGTAAGAAAAAATCAAATGTTGTAGATGTAGATGATAGTGATTGGTTAGTTATCGACGAAAAGCCAACCGGATCTAGATCCGTATCAAGCGCAAATGTGAAAGGTCATTTTGAAACGTTGAATGTGAAACGTGGTAAATCGAAATGTAAGTTGTTGTTGTTATTATCATTGTGGGTTTTTTTTTTAAAAATTTTTAAAACTTGTAATACTCTATGCCTCTATTTCCCCACCTTTCTCAGTAATTCACTTTAGGAGTGATTTCTTTACTAAAAGGTATGAGGTTGTGTGCATTATCAGTAACATAGAAATTTCACTTTTCAGTCGCTGGTTTACATGTCCGCATTTCTTCCTGTATATCTCAGGCTATGAACCATTCCTATTGTGAGTGAGCAGATAATACACTGACCAGCTGCCCCAGGCTGAAGTAGCTGGAGTGGGAATCGAATCAATTGTCTATAAGGCGAATGCTTAAACCAATCAACCACATCTCCACGTATTATTATGCTAAGCCATTAAGTAGACGCGCACCCACATACCATGAGTACGATTCCGCGTTGTGTAACTTCCTTTTCTTTTTAGATAGTTGAAGGCAATCTGCAGAAAGCTTTGAGCCTAGGTTTCGTGCTAGTTGGCACTCACCAGTTATCAAGGCGTATCTGAAATCACCTTAAAGCAATTCATTTCGCGACTGAGCTCGAATAGCTCCTCAGTGGTAACGTCTCTGACTGGCAGCACTCACTTGGTGATTATTATTATTATATCCTTTGATTCCTAGAGGAACATAGGGCTTCAGCCGTGCGTCTCCATTGCGTTCGGTTCTCTGCTAGAGTCTTCACCTGGCTCCATGTCTGCCCATACGTTTTCATCTCCTCTTCACATGACCTCCTCCAAGTCACCCTTGCACTGATGACCAACTCGCCGCTTCCCTTTCGGCCGGGTTCCACTCGAGCAATGGCTTGTCTAGTGATGTCACTTGATGGTTTCCTCAGAGTATGGTCAACCAATCCACCTCCATTTCTTCCTGCCTATTTGTTTCACAATCGGTTCCTGCTGGGTTGGTTCGCTCATTGCCAGAGATCTCTGTTGCTGATCTTTTCTGGCCGGCCATCTGATCTTGAGTATTGAGCGAAGACAACTGTTAATGAAGGTCTGTAGTTTGTTTGAAATGCTCTTTATGACGCGCCAAGTCTCTGATCCGTATAGTAGCACTGACTTTACATTGGAGTTGAAAATCCGGATGTTATTTTTGATGCTGAGTGTTGTTGACCTCCACACAGACTTGAGAGTAATGAAAGCTTGTCTTGCTTTTCCGATTCTTGCTTTGATATGGTGATATGGGTTCGAATCTCAGAAGGCATATAAGCTTCTCAAAGATTGCAGATACGCCTTACTGACTGACTGACTGACTGATAGTGAGTGCCGACAGGCATGAAAGTAAGTAAGGTCAAGTAAGGCTTCCTGTTGCCAACTGCCTCCAATCATCCAATAACAACAATTTTCAGTTCACTGTGATAGTAAGCCACATTTTGCAAATTTGGCTGATAGAATTCAGTCTGCAGTGAACAAAGGACTAGAAGCATGACACCAGTTAGTGTCTAATCAAAAATTACTCTTCGTATATTTTTTGTGTGTGTGCCTTGTTATTAATATTATTAAAGACTTGCATTTTCTTGTGAATATAAAGGGGGAACAATGTTGTATTCATAGGCATTTCTTTGTTCAATACTGCTAATAGCTCTGTATGCTTTCACGTGAACAAGATTACTGCTCTGATATTTTAAAGAATAGAAGGTTATTGCATTTGTTGATCCAATATAATCTAATATTTGATTGCTTTATAGCACTGACCACCTACTGTATCATGGGAACGCCGTAAATAACGCTATGTTGAAGATATTCAAACTGTCTGATTAATGTTCAAAAACAAAGTTGAATAACAAAGACATAATTTGAGTGCTGATTTCGTAATAATGAACGGTGTATCAGTTACAGAATTATTGAAAGTGGAATAGTACTAGACAGATGTTTCGTTCTAGTTTGAGACTCTTCAGCAGTGCACCTCTTTGACACCTCACTAGGGGGTCGGACTCAGGACCTTCAGGTTATTGGGACCATCCGTTGATCACTCACTTATCCATGGATAGTAACTTGTATCAATTTGCGGTAGAGTGCTACTTCTTACGGGTCCTAAACTAGGTTGAAGTAGATATCTAGTGTTCCTTGATGTGTTCCTCAATGATTCTCTACTTGATTTTGACTCAGGAGGAAATCTACAATTAAATTAATGACATTCCCTGGAAAACCCAAACTGACTGACTGACTGAGTGGTTTCAACGTAGAACTTTGTACAGATGTGCAGCAGTTCGAGTTGCCACACTCCCTCTTTGTAACACACAAAGCAGGAGAAGAGAGTAAAGAGACATTCATCAACATAAAGATAATAAAGAGAAGTGTGAGTGATGCAAAAAGATTAGTAATACGGGAAGAACAGTAGAGTTTTATTGGATATGATGAATCACTAAGTGTGAATGCATATACGCTTTTCATTGACAACGAGGACTTTGAGCCATATCACCAATTGTCTCCAGCTTTCATTGGTTCTCACCATTTCGAGGACCTCAACTAGGAAGCCAGTCTACATCTCCCTACGTGACTGGCTGGCTGGCTTAAACTAATCGTTGCGCATTTCATTGACTGATGAAGTCATGTTTTGGTTTGATCACCAATAGCTTGCTCTTTTCCAATTTGATCCATCCTACGTCAGCTAGAATTGCCTGTCTTCAAGGAAGGCGATGGCTAAGCTAGGGATGAATAACACATTTCCTGAGTATCTCAATTAATGTACCTTCACAACTTCCTCGATGGATTTCTTTACGCCTAACCAGAATTATTAATAAGTAGTTATATTAGGTCACTAAAGTTTACGATAAATGCCAAGAGTATCACTTTGAACTCGTCTACTTGCCCTCCATTGTATTCTCTATTGAAATTAAGGTATTGAAGTTTGTGGAATGAAAATGTCATCGTTAACATTATGGTTTAGATTTGTTATAATTTTTTATTCTTTTTTTATTGCGTAAATAGTAATCCAACTCATCAGAGATACAGAGAACAATTACTCACTGACATTCATCAGAATCCAGTTATATTTTGATTTCGGAAACTGATATCACACTGTGTTTCATTATTACAAAAGAAAAGATTTAGCATTTCATTATGAGCTGACATGGATTAGAGAGCCATTGGATAACCTGGAAGTACACACACCCCACCGCAGGGAGTTCTAATCCAAGACTGGCAGAAATAGGGATTCATGGGTCACTGGATCGCTTTCCTGTGAGCTGTCCTTTTAACTGAAAGGTCCTGGGTTCGAACCATGGCGGTGGGTGCGTCCTGATGAGGATGCACATACTGGGACGACACAACTGTCCGGTGCATCCAGGTTTTCCAATGGTTCTCTAACCTATGTCAGCTCATGACGAAATCTTGTTACCAATCAATCAAATCCATGCAAACTAACATTTGCAAAATTTAGTAGTTTAAAGTTCTGTATTGTAAAACTGGATTCTTTTTGTTGGTTGATTTATATTGACTCACAAACGTTAACTCAGCAAAGTTAAACTTTTAGCACCACTAACTGTCAATCAGCGAATGACATCGAAAGCACCAATTACGTGAAGGAGGCATTTTTGTGTATGGATTACATATATATGTGAAATAATGCATGAAAACTTTATAAAAGTGTTACAGAGGATACCTTCCTTTCACATGTGATAAAAATAGCTCTCAGTTTTAGGTATCAACAATGGATAATTCCGTTGTGGGTAAAACTTATTTTGATAAAGTTGCATAATGTTATGCAGTAATACTTACTCAGCCGTAGATTGTGCTCGAAACGTCATCAGTAAATATACCTATATAACCCCCCTTAATACTTTGTCAAAATAAATTTTACCCACAATGGAATTATATTCTACCACAGTGCACAATTTCTATTCTTATACCAACAGATTATTTTAACCACATTCTATGAATGTAATTATTTAAGTCTCCCAACCCTCAGAAATAACCCGAATGTTTCCTAAATCTAACCCTAACGTGAAAATATCTCTAAACTAACTGTAATCTAACTCGAACCAACCATAATTTCGCCTTTATTAAGTTGACCTAACCTCTAACTTGTCCTTGACTTAACTCGTAACTTAATCTTTCCCAAACCTGAGCTGGAACTTGCCAGATATCCTATTTAAATAACATAACACTTCGATGAGCATATTTTATTGATGATGATGACAACATTATCTGCCTGGCTTCGCTGACTTGTTTGGTGAGCGTTTCAAGGTCATTGGTGCGGTCACACTTCATTGGTAGTTGGTGGTGGTGCTTAAAGTTTAACTTGGCCGTGTAAACTTTTTTGTGCAGATTGAAGATATTGTTATTATCAGTAAAATTCGGTCGATCGGTCGGTCGGTTTTCGACATAGAACTTTGCACATATGTGCGCCAGTTCAAGTCGCCACATTCCATGTAGCACACAAAGCAAGAGAAGAAAGTAGAAGAAATGCATAATATAGACAGTATACAGAAGTGTGAGACAAAGGAATAGTAATAACGGAGTACAAAACAGTTTCATTGGATATTGTAAGTCACAAGGAGTGGATGCATCTGCGCCACTGAGAACGATTTTGAGCTATGTCACCAATTGTTTCCAACCATTGGTTTTTACCGTCCCGAGGACCCCAACCCGCCAACCAGGAAGTCTACATCTTCCTACGTGGCTTAGACTAACTGTTGTGGATTTCATTGATTGGTGCCATGTTTTCGTTTGACCGCCGCTAGCTCTTTACCAGCCTGACCCTATATCAGCTAACATTACCCATTATCGAGGAAGGCGATGACTAGGCATACGTAGCATATGTCCTAACCATTTCAGTCGATGTTGTTTCACAGTCTCGTCGACTTATTTCCCCTCAATGCTTACCTAGCACTCGACGCCTAACCTCAATATTGCTCACCTTACAATACCACTTCACGCGGGAGACAGAACGCAGACATCTATGATCGAACACAGCTAATCTTTTCATCAAGTAATCAGCACACTGATCTCTGATAGCAAGTTTATGTTAGAGAACATATAATTGAATTCGTCGTTTGGACAACATGAAAGGTGTATTCTCCACCCCCTCCCCCGGACAGTGCTTGCTTTTTATCCGTATGAAACACATTATTTCACTGTACTGTACAAATTAGCTCATCAACTACAACAGGAGTCGAACTGTTCTCCGGTTGGTTATTCGACATAACTCTAATTTTACTGATTGAGTCTCGAAACTTGTTTGTTAACCTGTTCTCTCACTTTCACAGTTCTGTCGGTGAGTTTTATCTACTGGTTGTTATATTTATATATTTTACTTTTTTTTTTAAATTTTAGCTACTGTTTCTGACAAAAATCGATCTCAGGAAGAAGTTATTGACTTCTCACCTCATCTAGCCTTTACTTCTACACAAAATGAAAATTTGTCAACCCAACCAACGGCCAATAATCGTGTACATTCACTGAAATCCACTTCTACGCCAATTAAAGACAAAAAGGAATTAAGCCAATCTCTTCATCGAGTAATTAAGGACTCTTCTTCTTCTCATGACAAGGTTAATTCAAATAATAATAACCCTGTGCTGAGTGGATCTGGTGATCAGCCTATACAAGCGGCGAAATTTCCAGTTAACGAATGTTCAGGTAAGACATCATAGATGCATCGAATTATTTTGTATATTCATGTTGTAATATTGAAGAGCAAATTGTGTCTGAATATGTTCAGTGGATTGCATCAACCAAATTATTACCTAAAGATTTCTACAATAGGAGAAAACGTCACTTGTCAACTTGCCGATGATATATGTCTAATGTCACACAAACTCAAAGACTTACAGGCAAGCGAAAACCAACAAACTGACTGAAGAGGTCAGCAGCGAAAACAGAACTCCAGGTGAACATAGAGAGGACTTAGGTGTGATGACGATAACCAGCCAATCAATCACCATCAACGGGAGAGATTTAACAGAGAATTTACCTCCTTCACTTTTCTAGAAAGCATTGTTTCAACTACAGGCAGTCGGAACGGATGAAGATGTCAAAGCTAGCCAGACAGAATCGAAAAGGCAAGGCAAGAAACGCCTTCATCAACGTGAAACAGGTCTGGAAATCTTCTGCACTCAAATGTGAAGTCAATCGGTTCTTCTATATAGGTCAAAAACTTGGCCAGGGTGTCACGAAGAGGATTTCCAACAGGTTACAGACTTTCATCAACAGCTGCCTTCGCTGGCTCCATGTTGAAGATCAAATGGCCGGCCAGAAAGAATAAGTAATAAGAGACTGTGGGATCAAACCAACTGAGAACCTATCGCTCAACAAATATGTAGAATATAGAAAATATCCCCATTTAGACATTTGGAAAACAGAAAGATTGAGTGAGAAAATATTTACTTTTCAATTAGATCCTCTTCTCTGGCTCTACTCTAATATATATAGCATTTTTACAATATACAACAGTTTACCAAACAAGTGGCACTGATATGTTTGTTAACAATAATTAAACAGTGTCAAAATGTCAATGGGTTGATAATTAACGCAGAAAATCAATACACATTTAAAAGGTAGAAATGGTTAGAATAAATTAATTTTACAAGGATAACACGTAATTAAAGATAAAGTGGTCAAAGTAAAAATAAAATAATTTGGACAATTATAATTTAATAGGTTTAGGGGGAGGGAGGCGACGTAGTCCTGTCTTGTAACGATGGCCACGGTAAGGAAAGTGGCTGTACAAATTTCTTCTGTACACATAGGCTTGGTTTCTTTTGGTGGATTCCAATTGCTTCAGCTGTCTGTAGAAGACGAACTCTTAGAGCAAAGTTAAGATTAGTCGGAATGCGATAAATAACTTTAAATGCAGTATTCACATCAACCTTGTGCTCAGTATCAACAAGGTGTGCTAAAATAGAACTACGAATAGATTTTGTTTGTCTATTATTTATCGCCCTATGTTCCACTCAGAACCCAAGGGTACAATAATATATAATAATATAATTCACATTCATTTGAATTACAACAGTATATGAGACAATTATTGAGTGATTCATCCCTCACTGTGATCAAAAAAAATTTCTGTTGACGAAGGAGTAGATTATGAACAATTCTTTAGTTGTTCTCCCATGTGAATGTATTAAATCAACAATTATGCAGTTATGTGTTATACTAAAATAAGCCCTATAAAATTATATCTCTAAGACGTGCGTCGGTAGCACAGTGGTTAGGACTCTCGCCGACCATGCACATGGTCCGGGGTTCGATCTCCTGCCGGCGCACACCCGATATCTATGGTCGGCCTGCAAAATTTGGGCTACCGATATCCATGCTCAAAATTCCACACTTGTACCGAAAATACGGTGTGGCATCAAGCTGTAATCAAAATAAAAAATAAAAAAGTAATCCTACCAATGAAATTGTTGAGTACACTGACTCAACTTTGAAATTGAATATACTCTTAAGTGTTTGAAGCTAAGCAGAATTACTTGTATTGATAATTGAAAAACCTGTCTTACTGTAAGCAGATTGTACAGCTTATTGTGCAACTCAGATATGCCACTATTCATGAATGGGTGTAGTGCTGAGTAGTGTACATGTTGTTTCTTTAAATTCCTTTACGAGTTGATCACGGACTGATATCAGTTAGAGAACCATTGAAAACCAGGGAGTACTGGACAGCTGCTGTTCCATCCTAGTTTGGGAATCATCGCCAGTACGCACACACTGCCAGGGTTCGAACCCAGGACCTTCCGGTTACAAGGCAAGCTAGCTCGTATACCATTCAGCCACTGGGACCCGATCCAACGGCCCATGAATTCTAACTTCTACCAATTCGTGATTTTAGCGCGACCCCAACCATTTTCGTTGTTGGGACATCCATCCATACACGTGACATCTAATTGGACCTCACTGGTCACGACTTCTCACTAGAACTCCAGGAAGCTCCATCCTGTAGCAAGTCACTAGCAAGCATCAGATTAATTTTCTTTGGTTTGGTTTGTAAGGGTTTGTTATGTTTTACGAGTTAATCTCAGTGGGTGCGTACTGCCGATGATTCCCAAACTAGGATGAAACAGCAGCTGTCCAGTACTCCCTGGTTTTCAATGATTCTCTAACTGATATCAGTCCGTGATCAACTCGTAAAAACATAACACACCCTTACAAACCAAACTATAGAAAATTCCTTTACGTTCCCAGTGGAACATAGGGGGCTTCAAGCTAGACCTTTGAAGTTTCACTAGCAGTGGTGTTTATTTCTACGGGATGATGGGGTTGCTAACTTAACCTTCCCTCTTTACCAGTCTTATTACTAGCTTAGAGAGGTCTGGGAGTGCGTTGGTGGCCGGGGATCGAACCGAGAACCACATGCGTGGTAAACGAGCATTATACGGCTGTGCCACCGATACCCAAAAAACACGGACATGTAAGTTATCAAAATGGTGGTTAGGTGAACCCTTTTTTGTTGTTGTAAGAAGGGCAGGTCCATCAATGATCTTTCAAAACATTATCGAGTCAAGTCATTGAAATAAGAGAACACGACGTTCAGCAAAGATGGTGATCTTTTCGGCGATTTCATTCTCAAAAGCAGCTGTACAATCGCATTTAAATACATAATTTTACATGGATACAATTCTTGTTTGATTCCACATAATTACGGCAACGAATAAAAGGTGACAATTATTTTCAACTTGATATGGTTTACGGGAGGCTTAGAATCAAAATTACACACGATTAGAACGAATAACAAATGTGTAAAAATGAGCATGGGAACAAAATTGAAATAATAATTTTCAAATTGAGTTAGGAGGTGCGAATACAGATTACACGAGACTTAGAAACAAAATTACAACAATTACAATTACAATTTCGTGTTCGCTTCTTTCTAATGTCCTTATGGGTGTTTTCCACGATCAAGTCATTGAAGCGGAAACTACGCATATCTATCCTTCTTGTACATCGACTTACTATGTAGAATGGATTAAAAATGTGGGAAATCAAGTCTAATCATTATTAATACACTGTACCAATCCATGAAGTTATTGACATTACCCTATTGAGTGAGGCATTTAGAAAACTATAAATTGCTTCATATAGCTCTGAAAGTAAAAACTAAAAGCTATGCCTTATAATTCTTGAGATAATTTTGAAATGATAAGATTGCTTCACATTCATTCACATACTACTACTACTCCGCTCTCATCAGTATTATCTTCTTTCAGAGAATTTCATTTTGTACTAGTAAAATTTGAATTTAGATAAAGCAATAAGAAGACGTATTTTGTCTGAATCGTGTAATGTATTTGCGCAACACATTTCGAACAATCTGATCACACACGGACTTGTCATAGGAATATATATGAAATTAATAAAGAGGTAAGAGGTGAGAAAATAGACTTAGGTCAAGTTTAAAGGACATATTCAAGGTCAAAGTAACAATGAAGACCACTAAACCAAATAACAGAGGTAATAGTACATCTGCTATGGTATCAAAACAAAATTTACCAAGGAAGGTTTAATGTGATGACAAATTGTCTTTGAACGCATAAAGGTGGCTTAAACTTTCTAATTGCTAGGGCTTCCATAAACTTTAGGATACACCCCAAACACGTTTTATAGATAGGTTTAAAAGGTCTGTTAACGTCAATTTTACGTCCTGTCTCCATAATATGTTTCGCAATAGAGGAGCTAGGTCTCCTGTTCTCACCATTAATGGGTTCTGAAGATTCCATTTGTTTCTGGAGCCATTTAGGAATATGCTCTGAAGCCAGCCCTTACTTGCAGAGATAGATGAGTCCTCCCTATGTATGTGTGTCCACACGTACATTCAAATGGGTAAATATAGTGGGAAGAGACATTATTTCTCGTATGTTCAAAGGGCTTATATGGATGGATATATTGGCTTCACATTCTCTATTATTATGATATTGGCAGCATAAAAAGTCTTTTTAACAGCAGCGTTCAATCTTTGTCTAGTTATCAAGCTGCTATGGTGCCCCATATAGGGTAGCTTGATGTACACGTCTTTCTTAGGAGCGAGTTGGGGAGTGGGTCTTGGTGTTCTGACTACTTAATATCTCCTGATGAATTTGTCTGGATAATTGTTATCAACCAGAGTTTGTGTCAACTTTCCTTCTTCCGCATCAAGTGTGTCTTCAGTGCATATTCGTTGGATTCTACTGAAGAGGCATCTTACTAAGGCTCTTTTGTACCGAACAGGGCAAAAACTGTGGTAATTAAGATATTGTCCTGTCCAGGTAGGTTTTCTATAAATAGATCTTTTTATTGACCCATCAAGCCGTCGACTAAGCAGTATGTCTAGGAAAGATGAACAGTTATTCAAAAACAATTTGTCATCACATTAAACCTTCCTTGGTAAATTTTGTTTTGATACCATAGCAGATATACTATTACCTCTGTTATTTGGTTTAGTGGTCTTCATTGTTACTTTGACCTTGGATATGTCCTTTAAACTTGACCTAAGTCTATTTTCTCACCTCTTACCTCTTTATTAATTTCATATATATTCCTATGACAAGTCCGTGTGTGATCAGATTGTTCGAAATATGTTGCGCAAATACATTACACGATTCAGACAAATTACGTCTTCTTATTGCTTTATCTAGTAAAATTTGTTGCTGGTATGCTAATAATATAAATTTATTCATTATGCTTGTTTGTCTGTTGTAATTGTTTTCCAGGAGCGTCTCATTCAATTAAGGTAGCATTTCCTGATATATCTGTACTGGTTCCAGTTGATTCATTGTAAGTTCTGTCAAGGATTTTTACTGTGTGTTATTTGTTTCTAAGAGTAACATTTTTTTAAAAGCGTTTATTTTTTGTTTCACACAACGAGTGTAAAACTTGCTTTGTCTACTGGACTGACCGACTGACTTCAACATAAAACTTTGTACAGATGTGTGACGGAGTTCGAGTTGCCACATTCCCTCCATGTTGAGTACACAAACCAAGAGGATACAGAGTAAGGAGAGATTCACCAACAAAGAGATAATAAGTGAGGGTAAAAGAAATAGTAATACGGAAGAACAGTAGAGTTTCACTGGATATGACAAATCGCAAGGAGTAAATGCATCTGCGCCTGAGCCAGCCATTGAGAACGATGATTTTGAGCCATATCACCAATTATCTCCAGCTTTCATTGGTTCTCACCATTCCAAACATCCCAACCAAAAAGGCAGCTTACACCTCCCTACGTGACTAACTGCCTGACTGGCTGGCATAAACGAACTGTTATGCATTTGATTGACTGATGAAGCCATGCTTTGTCTTGATCACCACTAGTTAGCTCTTTTCCAACTTGATCCATCCTATGTCCATCAGCTAAGATTGCCTGTCGTCAAGGGAAGGTGATGGCTAAGCTAGGCATGAGTAACACATTTCCTGAGTATCTCAATCAATGTACCTTCACAACCTCGTTGATTGATTTCCCCTTCTTGCACTCATTGGAATAATGTACAAATTCGGATGTTATTTCTCAAAGGAATTTTCAGAATTTGTTGAATTACTGTTATACTAGAATACTACCAACTTTGTGTGAAAATTTCCTCCTGTCTTTTTTTTAACGTTTATTGCATTCTCTGCTTTGAGTTATTCTTAAGTTCTTATAATAATACATAGTAAGCGTCAATAGTTTTACATGAAACTTTCCATAAAAGTCTGTTAATCTTGATCTTAATTTATACAGAGTAATTGTTTCTATCTTTTGTCGTTTTTTTCTCTCTGGTGATCATCTTTTTTAATCCTATACTTGTTTGATAAAACTAACTTTTTTATAAATTATTTAAAGTTTAAGAAAAAATCAAAACAAGATCTGTTTTCTGGAGGTTTCACCACAGCTTCTTCAGCAGCAGAATTATTCGGATTTTCAAGTGTTGGTTTGTAGGGATTTGATTGGTTACAGGATTTCATCATGAGCTGTCACTGGTTAGAGAACCATTGGAAAACCTGGGAGTGCTGGACAGCCAGCCGTTTCGTCCTAGTCTGGGACTCTTCAGTACGCACCCACCAGGGTTCGAACCCAGGACATTCTGGTTACAAGGAAAGTGAGCTCGTAGACCATCAAGCCACTGTGACGCGATCCAATGGCCAGCCCATGAATTTCAACTTCTGCCAATTCACGATACAGCGCGACCACTAGCCAATGTCTTCGGCGAGTATTTTTCCTCACACCCGACCTGCTCGGATTTTGATAATTGTCACAATGTATAGTCAAAAATTACTTAAATTGAAATCAGTTCCTTTGAAGGTCACTTGTCGGTAGACATTTGTATCAATAGAAAAATGTAAATGGTCGTCATCACATATTCGTAACAACTGATGTCCACTCGTCACATGGGCACATTTACTTGTATGAGTGTGTGTATGTGTGAGAGTGTATGTTGTTTGTTGTAAGAGCAGCAAGTCAAAACATGATAATATTTCACAGTGGTGACGATATAGGATTGAATTTGTTCCCGTCATCTGCTTTACTTCATTAGGGTCTGCTATCTAGGGGATAAGTCTATCCCTTCTCTCCTATTTACTGCATTAGATGTGGTTAAAATTGTGCAAGGCTTTAGAGGTCAACCTTTCTTTATGTGAATGATAGCCTTTTCTTAGAATTTCGACATTGTTGAAATCAATCTTATGTCCGCTGTCCATAGTTAGCATGAATTGCTATAGCTGATCTTTTTTCTAAACTTCTTAATTCTACTTCATTTCTAGGTAGACGTCTCGTGCATAGTCGATATTTATTCACTCTGACCTTCACCTGTCTACTACTGTCCGTTATATAGCAAGCTTCACATTCTGAACACTTTATCCTGCAGACACAGTCGTTTTGTGACATTTTGGGAACCATATCTTTGACATTCACCAAAGCTTTCTCTAGGGGAGAGTAGTAGGACAGATTGAAGATCAGAGTGGATGAACATAGACTGTGCATGAAACCTCCGCGTAGAAATCTGGACAGCCGACATAAGATTGAATTCGACAATATGTCTGGAAACGTATACAACCACTAACTTCTTGTTTTCTTTCTTCAAAAATTAATTTTCTAACAGATCACGCAGTGTTTCATGGTTGGCTACAGAAGCCTATCGTCGACGTCAAATTCTAATGGGATTTAATAATACAAATACTCCGTGCATAGATTCCAGTGAATTAGTTCGTTTAAGTACTCGAGATAGAGCCTTACTTCTTCCATCAGATCGTTTATATGCAGTTATTCCAAATCTAAGTCAATCTGGATGTATTGTTGAACTTCTTGCTGAATTGAATGAATCACTTGGTAAACGCACAGTAACTTCGAGTAGTAGTAGTAGTACTCAATCAAATCAACCTGTACAATTTCCTCATCCTGTTGTGTATTCATCACAATTGAATTATGGTTAGTTCTGTACTGTTACTTCTCCCTCCCTCTCTCTTTTTTTGCTATGTTTTATTTTTTCTCTCCAAAAAGTCGTACATGCGTCCACGTAGAGGTACATTTCGCACACATGTCATCTTCAACCTACAGTGAATTCTGCTCCCTTTACTCTGGTTACTTCAACTGGGTTAAAGTGAACAGTCTCAGTGCGAGTACCACCGTTCACTTAGACGCTGTTATATTGGCTTCTGTCTGTCTGTCTGGTTTCAACGCAAAACTTTGCACCGGTGTGCAGCAGTTCGAGTCGCCACACTCCCTCCATGTTGAGCACACAAAGCAAGAGAAGAAAGTAGAAGAAATGCATAATAGAGACAGTAAACAGAGATATGGGGCGAAAAGAATAGTAATATTGAAGAACAATATAGTTTTATTGGATATTATAAGTCACAAGAAGTGAATGCATCTGCACCAATGACAATGATTTTGAGCCATATCACCAATTGTCTACAGCTATTGGTATTTACCGTCCTGAGGACCCCAACCAGGAAGTCTACACCTTCCAACGTGGCTGGCTTAAACTATCTGTTGTGGATTTCATTGATTGATGAATCCATGTTTCGGTTTGACCACCAGTGGATCTTTTCCAACCTGAACCCATGTCAGGTAATATTGTCCGTCGATGCAGGGGCTTTAAAAGTCCGTGATATACAGAAACTTTTGTTCTGAATTCCACTGAAATTTGACATTATACTGACAGTTATATGTATGGCAGAAACGTGTTATTGAAGTTTCTGTAGCAGTGGTGTTTATTTTACGGGATAGTGTTGCTAGATTCATACTCATGCCCAACATTCCCTGTTTTCCCGAGCTTACTACCGACTAAGGTAGGTAAAAGAATGCGTCGGACGGGCGATGGAACCCCGGAACACTTAGTTGTGCTTGGTTGGCCAGTGTCTTCTGTCGTTACGCTATCACTGAACTATCGACGCCACTGCTACAGAAACTTCAAATCTCTAGCTTGAAGACGCACCATTTTCCACTGGCGGAACTTAAAGAGATAAAAGGAAGATATAAATTGTTATTGATGACTATTTAAACAAATGAAAAAAAGTTGTCAGAGGAAGCATCATAGATAGGACTTGCTTCAGATGAACATAGAGAAAACAAAAGTGATGAAAACTCCTGGCCTGCACCAACAGTAACAACAGCAGACAACAATCAGCCAGCATAAATGGAAGAAATCTGAAAGAAGCGACCTCCTTTACCGCCTACCTCGGAAGCATCGTCATTTCAACTACAGGCGGACGGAACTGATGAGAATATCATGAAAAGCGAGGATCATTGGGGAAGCAAGGCAAGTTTTCATTACTCTCAAGTCTGTGTGGAGGTCAACAGCACTCAACATGATATGTAAGATCCGGATTTTCAACTCCAATGTGAAGTCAGTGCTTCTACACGGATGAGAGACATGGCGCGTCATGAAGAGCACTTCGAGCAAACTACTGACCTTCATCAGCAGCTGTCTTCCCTTAATACTACTCAAGATCAGATGGCCGGCCAGAAAAGATCAGCAATAGTGAGAGATGTCTGGGAGTGAACCAACCCAGTAGGGACCGATTGTGCAACAAATCTGCAGGAAGAAATGGAGGTGGATTGGCCATGCGAAGAGAAGATGAGAGCATATGTGGGAGACGTGGAGCCAGGTGAAAACGTTGGCGGAGAAGCGAACGGAATGGAGACGTGCGGCTGAAACCTTTTGTTTCTCTGGGAACTAAAGTAGACTATAATAATAATATAATACAAAGAAATCTTTCTTTGTTCACATTGAGACCACTGTCAATCAAATGAGGCAAAATCAAGTTTTTCATATATTTTGATTAACTTTTGTCAACCATGAAGGAATGTGCTCAGCAATGCGTATGTTGAGTTGCCCTGGGGTGTCTCACACACTTAGCTTATCCTTCTGTACCATAGTTAACTGCATCTCCTCACTGATCTTTTATGTTTCCAGTGAGTAGAAGAAGTGTTCGGAGAAGCATGTGAGACTGTTAAACATTCTCATCTCATGGAGATGTGTAAGAGAGCTTGTAGTGATGAGGGTCAATATGGAGGTCGTTTCATGCCTTCGATACAAAAAATGGCTTTTGTGTATTTTAGGCTTCTTATGCCTCTGTTGTGTTTAATAGACTCGAAGGTAAAGCACGCTTTTAATTCATTGTTAATCACCACCCCTAGAATATATTCTATGTTTGTCATGATATCTGCTTGTGAGCACTCTTCATTTATGTTTTCTCTCTCATACTTCATTTAGAACCAAGAATGAATGAATCACCTAGCGAATTACTACCACCATCTTTCTATCGTTCCATTATTGATAAAGCCAGAAGTACAGGTGTTGTGGATCTTTCTCATCTTGGCATGGATGATTCAGAGTGTTGTAAATCTTTAGGTTATATCGTCCGTGGCGGTATTCGTGTTATTACAGATATCCAACTTCAAGGTATGTCAGTAATAATGATAATAATAACAATAACAATAAGTAATTCTTGGCTTTATTCATTTCCCATACTAACTTATTACTGATCTGTAACTTCTTCACAGTTCAATTTCACATATCTAAATTATTGATCGTATTTCTCATTTCTTATTTAATTGCTCAGTTTGTATTATTTGTCTGCCTGTGGATGCATTCTTCCACTGTATAATGATACCATAAAGCATTTATTGATTGGCAGTCTGCTTAATGCTAGGGCTACCGAAAACCTCCATCACTTATTGCATATAGTTTATCTGATTCAGGTCCCAGTGACTGAATGGTCTGCAAACCCGCCTCGCAACCGGGAGGTCCTGTGTTCTAACCCCAGCGGAGACGTACTGATGAAGTCTTAAAGTAGAACGAAGTGGCTGTCCAGTACTGTTGGTTTTTTGTGCATCGGTGGTTCGGCGGCAGAATACTCGCCAAACATGCACCAAGTCTGGGGTTCGATCTCCACTCGACTCACTCCTAGACTTCGCTAAGCTGGTAGTAAGACAGGCAAAGAAGGAAGGTTGGGCACGAGGTTAGCAACATCACCTCGTAAAAATTACAAAAAAAAGACTGCTACCGTAACTTCAAAGTTCTAGCCTTAAGCCCTATAATAATGACCTCTAACAGTATGCCTTACCCTAGCGAGTATTTAAAACATTTACAACCTGCTGTTTTGCAAGTTTCTACTAAATATAGGAAAAAGAATTCTTTTTAAGATAATTATCCTCGATGGCAACTTATTTCAGGAACATGAGACGATCGTTCCTGAGTGTTGTCCTCCGTTCAAAAAATGCACTCCTACACATTTTATAGTTGACATTCATGGAATACGCACATTGGATCATAGGAATTATTAAAAAAAAACGGAAATAATTCTGGAACTTTTTCATCCATTTACTATAAATACACGAATGTACAGCCTAGTTAATGATTTCGTCGAAAAGAAAATTTTCCTTCGTTAGAACCGTCTTTTTAATAATAGGCATTGTCTTAGATTTCTCAAAGGAGAAGAAGAAGAGATATCATGATAGTGGATGGGATTACTCTCCAGGTCAGATAGAATTGTGTGTCACACAATCTGCTGTCAGTCAATTCATGTTTTATTTGAATATCCTGGACGAAGGAGAAATATCATGCAATAAGCTCCACTGAAAATTCTGTACATTATATTTAAACACTGCTCAGAATAAAGCTATTATAGTTATTTTATTCATTGAAGAATTTCCATTGAAATCTGTACATTTATCATATCCTACACTGTCTTTTCGTTACTACTGCTTACTGTTTAAGTAATAGTGTAACGATAGAAGACAAGGGTCAGGCAACGGATCGTTTGTTGAAAAAATCAATAGATATATATAGATTTTTAAGTACATTATTCTTCGTTATTGTTAGTGGAGAAGCAACGTCTTTTGATTGGTTGTTTTCCCTCTGAAGGTTATTCTGTACTGCTTGTGACCGTTTCTTAGAAAGTTAAGCCATATACCTGCAAATCGTATTTGCACACGCTAAGTCTGCTGTGATTGGTTGTTGAGTTCCTCAAGGTTTAACTTGGTTATTGTTTTTTTCTCATGACCCTGATTCAGGACGTAAACATTGACGCGTAAGTTGTTGTCCACCAATTTTGGCTTGTAGACAGCTCTCATCAACAGTAGTAGCACAGAAGAGATTTCGTTTACATCATACATAAAATCTTTTGATTTAAAATTGTTTCGCTTTCTTTTTTATGTATACATTTATTAAAAGGTAATTCATTAACAACTGATTTATTGGACATTGAAAATACCTCAACTAATTGTTTTTGTTTAAATCTACTGGGTTATTTAAGTCAAATTTCATCTCAATTGGTTAAATTAAATCTAAGCATGAATCTATTCAATGGACAGTTTATCAAACGATTATTGAATGGTTTATCAAAACAATTTAAAGAAAATGAAAGGTAAATATTTGTGTGTTAATTAATTACCGATTATTGCTGAACTCTAAACTTTTTAACCCTCATTTTTATTCCAACGTTGTCGGTTTATTTTTTTTTCACTATTCAATCGAAATGAGTTGCAGTAACATTGGAAATCAGAGTGTAAAGAAACACTTGTCCAGATGTTATTTAATTCTGTTTGAACATTATCGTTAACTGATTGAACTTGAAGTGCTCGACCTCTGTTAGCTTGTCAGCTCCTTGTGTAGATGATTCGGCTGTGTTTGATAATATTACACGAAGTGATTTTATAGGTAGGGTAACCAGCAGTGGAATTCAGTACGCGCATTTCGTCCTATCTGGGATTCGTCATCTGGATGCACGTGCATTCTTAGTGTGTGAGTGAGTGAGTGAGTGAGTGAGTGAGTGAGTGAGTGAGTGAGTGAGTGAGTGAGTGAGTGAGTGAGTGAGTGAGTGAGTGAGTGAGTGAGTGAGTGAGTGAGTGAGTGAGTGAGTGAGTGAGTGAGTGAGTGAGTGAGTGAGTGAGTGAGTGAGTGAGTGAGTGAGTGAGTGAGTGAGTGAGTGAGTGAGTGAGTGAGTGAGTGAGTGAGTGAGTGAGTGAGTGAGTGAGTGAGTGAGTGAGTGAGTGAGTGAGTGAGTGAGTGAGTGAGTGAGTGAGTGAGTGAGTGAGTGAGTGAGTGAGTGAGTGAGTGAGTGAGTGAGTGAGTGAGTGAGTGAGTGAGTGAGTGAGTGAGTGAGTGAGTGAGTGAGTGAGTGAGTGAGTGAGTGAGTGAGTGAGTGAGTGAGTGAGTGAGTGAGTGAGTGAGTGAGTGAGTGAGTGAGTGAGTGAGTGAGTGAGTGAGTGAGTGAGTGAGTGAGTGAGTGAGTGAGTGAGTGAGTGAGTGAGTGAGTGAGTGAGTGAGTGAGTGAGTGAGTGAGTGAGATTCGAACCTAGTACCTACCGTTTTAATTGCGAAAGCGTTTATGACGCGCCTTAAGTGGGACGAAATGCGCGTTATCCTGGATTCGACTGCCAGTCAGCATCCACCCAAATTACTTCAGGATGTGCGGATGGTTTTCAATGATTCTGCAACTGATATCTGCGGGTTTATGATGGAATCTAAATTGCTACTAATTGAATTCCTGAAACATCCGGAATCTGAAGAACAATCTTCTACTTGTTAGTAGCTTTGGGATGGATATCGTAAAGTTCTGTCCGGTGGGGTCCTTCATGTCGGTTGTGAAACTGATGTCCATCTGTGACACTATTCAGCAATGATGCCATATGTCGAATCGACAAAAGTCAGGATTTACAGGTGAATGGATTCCGACCCGGTGGGCTGGATGATTAACGGGTTCACTGCCTTCACGCGACTTGGGTATTTCTGACATAGATGAGAAATGACAAACGGGAACGTCTGGCGCTTACAATCGAACTAATGAATGCGCAGGTCTACCTAGATGAGCTGGAAAACCCTGATTCCACGGGTTCCATAATCTGAAAGGATAGAATGGCATATAAACCTGTTATGGCCACCGGCAACCATGAGAATGTTAGCGCCTAACGCTGCGTTGTGGATCAGGCTTCGAGAGTGGTCCCCCAAGATAACCACCTACTTTGGTCTGAGCATCCGGAGAGAGTATCCCAGTCCTCGCACAAACTATGATACTTTTGTAGCACATCTCTTGGTGCCTATACTGTACCAAGTCTTTTACTTTTAATCATAATAATAATCATCATCGTCATGATGATGGTGGGGAACGGCATTTAAGTTTGTCTCCGACCCGTCCAAAAACTGCTAGAATTAAATAAATGTGGGTGTTTATAAGAAATTATATTTGGTTGGGAGGTTTCATCATGAGATGACATCAGTTAGAGAACTATTGGAAAACCAGCTAGGAGTACTGGACAGCTGTTCCATCAGCTTAGTTTTGGACTTTTCTTCAGTGCTCTGGAGCTCGAACCCAGGACCTTCTGGGTACAAGGATAGCGAGCTCTTAGACCATTCACTAGCCACTGGGACTCGATCCAATGGCCAGCCAGTCCATGAATTCTAACTTCTGCCAAGAATTCACGACATAGCGTGACCACTTCGCAATGTCTTCTTCGATGAGTTACTGTCTCACCTTCAACCTGCTGTGTACCCTACTGGTCACGGCTTCTCACTAGAACCCTAGGTTAAATGCCTGAATATAGCCAGTCGCTAGTGAGCATGAGACTGATTTTGTAAGAATTGTGTTTTACTGGTTGGAAGGATTCACCATGAGCTAACATCATTTAGAGAACCATTGGAAAACCAATAATAATTATAATAATAATCTACTTTATTCCAAAAATAGTACTTATAATACAGAATGGAATTCTCAACATTCCTCACAACATCTTGCATCTGATTTACTTAAAGTATAAATAAAATTAAAAGTCAAAACAAAATTAACCAGAGGAATTTGTCCACATTTACGATATAAAGTCAAAAATATTCGAAGTACGAATTGAGAATATTAAATATAATAATAATAATAACATTAATAACAGTGAGTTTGTTTCAAACAGTATTGTCGATTCAGTTTGGAAATTTTAGCATGTTATACAGTATTGAATCTAATGTTCTGTTGATATAGTATGGTGAGGGGAAATACAAAATTAACAGTTATAACACAGCTTAAATGATGTTCACACTTATGAAAAAATATTATCAAATAATAACAAAAAATTGAGAGGATTATGAATATATGACGTACAATAACAATAAAGGTTGATGTTGTAAGGGTGGAGGAAATGGTTTATTTAATAGTGCAAAGAAGGTTAGTTAGTTCATGTCTGACACTATTTTCATCACATAAAGTACGTGCCGCCAAATATGGTATCGTGGAATTTTTATACTTAGACGTACACGCAGAAAGTCTTTTGAAATGACTTCTTGTTTTACCTGATGAGACACAAGGTTGGAGCTGCGGGTAGAGTGGATGCTCGCAGTCTGATAAAATCTATACAACAAATTTGTTGCATGAAATCAAGTGCCCATCGTCAATGACGATGTCAGCGATATGGCCCAATGGGACTACCACTCGCCCTACTGACAGTCTTCAGAGTTCTACGAAGTATGACATAGTCGTTTTTAAGCAATCCAGGAAAGAATAAGGGTGAACAGTAAAGAAGAATAGGTAAAATACACGAGTTGACAAACTGTAATAGGAGGAGGATGGTTGAGTTCTGTCTGAGTGCCTTAACTTCTTAATGTAAAAAGTCAGACGAAATATTCTTTTAGAAATCGCTAAGACATGTGAAGACTTGGATTGGTCAGAAGAAAGAATTAATCCAAGATACTTAACTTCAGACGACTTGATTTCTATATCCTCACTATCATCAATTTTGCAAGGGTCATAGGAACCAACAGCTTCATCATTTAACTTTCTTTTACATCAGAAACTTAAATGAACAGTCTGATTGATGATATTTGGAAGGATTTAGTTTAAGGCCATTAGACGAATGAATACCATTTGCTATAACTCCTGATAGAAAGCTGTTCATCTTAGTTACAGTCAAGCCGGGAGTTAACAGACATCGTGAAACAGTTAGATCATCGGCATACTTAACAAAGTTCATTTCATTTCTTACTCTTTGCTCTCTCTCCCTACACTAAGTATATATATTTTTTTCCTTCAAAAATTTGTTCTATTTCAAGTAACATTCAGTTAACTACTCAACACCTTTCTTGATATAGTGCTCATATTGATTACTGATTTTCTTTTTCTACTTTGTTCGTGTTGTGTGTGTGTGTGTGTTGATTTAGCCCGCGTGTACTTATGCCTCGACTTCAATATTTAAATCTAAGTTATAATCCACTTCTTGGTGCTGGTGGTGGTGGTGGTGGCGGTGGTTATACAGATTCGGGCTTTGATCTCATGAAAACATTTGATCATCATCATCATCAAATAATGAATAGAAATTCTACAAACTACTACTACTACAACTGTTGTTGGACAGGATACATTAATGACATTTTAAAAGCCTTTCCTAAATTAACCTATTTCAATTTGGCTGGATGTTCATTAGGAGGAAATAGTACTACTACTACTACAGAGAATTATACTGATCTCCATGGTGGTGGTAGTAGTGAAAAAATTCTGTATAATATAAATACAGGTGAGTGAATTTTAAATTTAAAAAAATAAATAAATAATTGTACATACTTTTCCCGTTTAATGATTCTTTAAGTATTATTTATAATTTACTTATTGCTGACGACGAACTCAGTGATCGTTGTCCTTTAAACCCCGACGAAATTATGAAAGTATTAGAATTGTGTCTTCGATCCACGTTATTTACGTTTAAAGGGGTTCTTTATCGTCAAACAGGAGGCATTGCTATGGGATCACCAGTATCTCCGCTAGTCGCCAATCTATTTATGCACTCATTAGAAACAAATGCAATTATGAGATGCCCTAGTCCCCCAAAGATATGGTTAAGATACGTAGATGATACCTTCATCATAATCAAACGTAGTTTGTTAAATGAACTGTTTCACTTAATAAACAATATATCAGAAACTATCAAGTTCTCCAAAGAGGTTGAATCCGATGAGAATGAGTTGGCGTTCCTGGACTGTTTAGTAAAAAGAAAATTAGATGGAAAATTTAAAATAAACATTTTTAGAAAGCCGACAAATTCGGATAGATACCTAGATTACCATTCAGCTCATCCATTTACCACCAAAGTAACTGTGGCCAAGAATCTGATCAACAGAGCCAAACGTCTAGTTACTGAGGAGGAAGATATTAGCAAGGAATTAAAATTGGTTCAATCCACTCTTGAATCAAATAATTATCCAAAATCCTTCATAAATGGATATTTAAAATGTGAAGATAAGGATGAATCAAAACCTGTTGCTAAGAATTGGGTTAGTACACCGGTGATTCCTTACCGCAAAGAAACATCCGACGAAATAAAGCGAATCCTTAACGACCATAATATACGAGTGTATTTTCGTGCATCAAACACCTTACGCTCATTACTGGTTAAGGTTAAGGATAAAATAGAACAAGAAAACCAGCAAAATTGTGTATACCAGATCAATAGTGGGGATTGTAACGCCGTATATGTAGGAGAAACTTCCAGACAGGTAAATGTAAGAGTGAAAGAACATAAACAATGTCTAAAGGTGGTTCCAAAGACCTCTGCAGACTTGAATTAGCTAGAAAACAACTCAGCGATTGCACTACATTCGATAGAAACGGGACACAAAATCGACTTTGATAAGACTAAGGTTTTACAGAAAGGTTTTGTTTCATATAAAGAAAGACTGACTGCAGAAGCCCTACATATATGGGTGAATCCCAACAGTTTGAACAGACGTGAAGGTGTGATGTTAGCTGATGCATGGCAAATCCTGACTAATAAATAAATTGGATATGTAACAACTAGTCACACTTGATCAAATTCCCGATTGTCTACGTCTTCTTATGAAGAGAATAACAAATTTATAAAATTATATTATATTTTTTAAAAATCTCAATTATTTTGCAACTATCCGGTCAAATCTTGATCACAGTTCATATGAATTACTTTTCAAAAGTTTGTGTTTTAGGAGGGTTTTGATTTGGTTTTTTCCAAGTTGGATCACGGATATGATATCAATTAGAGAACTATTGCAAAACCAGCCATAGAGACAGTACTGGACAGTCAGATGTGTTTCGTCAGCCTAGTTTGGGACTACTCATCGACAGTACGCGTCAACTGTCAGTGTTCCAACTCAAGACTTTGTGGTTACAAGGCAATCTCGTGGACTGTTTAGGCCGTTCAGTCGTGTCCTAGAGGCTGAGTAGTCTACGACTTTACCTTGTAACCACAAAGTCTTGGGTTGGGGAACACTGACGGTTGGTGCGTTCTGTCGATGAGTAGTCCCAAACTAGGCTGACGAAACACATCTGACTGTCCAGTATTTCCTGTGGCTGGTTTCATGGCTTCATCTGTCAATGAAATCCACAACAGTTAGTTCAAGAGACACATAGGAAGGTGTAGACTTCCTGACTGACTGGTTGGGGTCCTCGGGACGGTAAAAATCAATAGCAGCTGGAGACAATTGGTGATATGGCTTAAAATCCTCGTTCTCAATGGCTCGGGCAGATGCATCCACTCCTTATGAATATACTATCCAAAAAAAAACTATATGGTTCTTCGATATTATTATTCTTTTTGCCTCATATCTCTGTTTTGAGTCTCTTTTTGTTTTCCTCTCCTACTTTGTGTGCTACAAAGAGGAAGTGTGGTGACTTGAACTGCCTGCACATCTGTGCAAAGTTCTGCGTTGAAACCAGTCAGTCAGTGGCTGGTATTCAATGGTTCTCTAATTGATATCAATCCGTGATCAAACTTGAATTTTACATACTTTAGTGGGTTTTTTTCAGACATGACGGTTGGTTTGTGTATGCAGACAGTTAGTTATCAGTTCATTCTGTGTTAATTCTTTCAAATTATTTCCTATGAAAATGTAGTAATGAGAATTAATGTACCAATATGTAGGAGTACAAGCTCTCTACTCTAAAATGGAGTCTAGCGCTGTCAAGTTATAATCTTATCTCACATTGTTATTCAGCCTACGATTTCCAAGTTCACTAAATTCAGTAAGAGTTAATTTCCTGACTACCCGAGTTGTAGAACTCCACAGATCATGACTTCTCACTAAAGAACTTCCCTTAATTTATCACAAATTTAATGACTACTGAATAAGCTGACCTTCATACAAGTGTCCTCACTCAACTCAATCTCTCGTCCATTAGTAAGTACACACTAGTGAAAAATCATAAACTAGAATGAGAAAGAAAGCCATTTAGTAGTGCCTTTTGTCTTCTGACACTTCTCAAACTGATATATATATATCACTTCATTGTTTAATTCTGCTTGACATCATCATTTTTGATCAGTATGAAATGTGTGATGATTTGTGGAAATGCTATTGTAACAACAGAAGACAAGGGCCAGGCAACAGATCCTTTATTAAAGAAAATCAACACATATTTATAGATTTTAATGTACATTATTGTAGATTATTGTTAGTAGAAAATACAGTCTTTTGATTGGTTGTTTCTCACAGAAAGTTAACCTTGCATCTCTTTGTCGCTGTGTCAGATCATCCATATGCTAACTGTATCCGCCCGCCTACGCAAAGCCTTTGTTCTCATCATTTTCTCACCACCAATATTGGGGACATAAACATTGACGTCAATTACTGTCTACCAACTTAGGTCTAGGTTAACCTAATAACAGGGTGATATTACGATTGGTTCGAGTTAGATTAGGGATATTTTCACGTGTGGAAAGATTAGGATTCTAAGACATAGATTATTACATGCATAGAATGTGGTCAAATCATCATTCTGTCGACACTCCAATCCAATCCAAAACTGTGAGGCACTTTCGTCACACGTCAAAGAAAGGTATGCTGTGTAACAGTTTCACGTTTCACAACCCATTTCCATGTATATTTACATTTATGCCTAAAATCGCTTTTATCATATGTTTGGTGCTTTCAAGGTCACTTGTCGGTTGGCACATCCTGGTGCTTAATAACTGATTTGAAAATGAATCTCGAATGAAGATTTGTTTGAAATTAGAAAGTCGTTTTATAGCTGTTTTCTGCATATTTTAAAATCATTTGTTTAAGCATTCAACGTTCATTTGATGAGTCCTGACTTTGAGTCTTGTACCACCTCGCACACAGAATTCGTTTACACCTCATAGTTCTGTTAGGTATAACTGAGCTCAAACTAGAAACTGGCCTGCTTTTTTTTCATTGAATTCAATGATTTCAGTCTGATTTCGCGGCTCATTTTGCATAATTATCTTCTGAAGTGATAGATGTCTTTCAACTTGATTGATTTGTTCATCCAGTTCCATATCTTCTCTGAAAGAGCTTCATGTGGTGATTTGTATGACATATGACATTATTTCTCAATGAGCCCCATATACACTTTGAGTAAGATGTGACTTTTTAGGTCTTTGCTTTTTACAGCCTATTCGATTACAGAAACACACACATGTACACACATACAATTCCTGATAGGAGTCGAAACGGTTGTTTCGAAAAAAAAAGAAAACTGACGATCTTTCAATGGATCATATTGCATAAATGATTCATGGCTGTGTATAATCTCTCTGTCATTTGTCGACTTGATCTCATTTGTTATTCTCCTCAGAATTGAAATCAACAATAGCCGCCATTAAGTGCGTCGGTGGCGCATAGCGGTTAGGACGCTCGCCGACCATGCATATGGTCTGGGGTTCGATCCCCGGCCACAGACGCAATCCTTTACCTCGCTAAGCCAGAAATAATGCTGGTGAAGAGGAAAGGTTGGGCATGAGGCTAGCAACCCTATCCTGTAAAATAAACACTGCTACAGAAACTTCAAGCCACTAGCTTGAAGGTGCCCTATGTTCCACTGGGGAACGTGAAGGAAAAAAAATAGCCGCCATTCAATTGTGTTCGTATCAACACGACTCCATGTCCATCGTTTCGTTAGTCTGCCCTTTTTTAATATCCTTAACTGTCCTACTTGAATAGTGGTCAAATTTACTATTAGTATTTTCGCCTTATCTGAATGGCATTCAGTTAACTTGTTGGTGAGTTTTATTCGTATTATACCCCATGAGCTTTAAGAAGCTTAGAGACAGCAGTCAACTAAGTTACTTGTCAATTGACATATGTTCCCTTTCTTGAAACCCGGTACTTTCACTCTACCAAAATCAAACAACCTCAGTTCAAACAAAGTCAGTTCTTCTCTATGAGTCAGAAACTTGACCAGCGCGTCACGAAAAGCATTTCCAACATCTTGTCAACACCTGCCACCTTCGCTGACTCCGTACTGAAAATCAAATGGCCAGAAAGAATTGTGTAACAAGAAACTCTGGGAACAGACCAACCAAGATGACATCGCTCAACAAATATGTAGGTGAAAATGGAGATGGATTGGGCACACACAGAGAGGAGACCGTCGAATGACATCGCGCGCAATGCAGGCCATCACTCGATTGGAAGCGACGAGTGGGATGTGTGTCCGACGGGGACATGAGGGAGGTCGTATGGGGAGGAGGAGATGAGAGATTTTGGTCAATCCCGGACCCAGTTGAAGAGGACAGCAGAAAATAGAAGAAAGTGGAAATGTGTTGTTGTTGAAGCCCTATACTCTACTTGGAACCCAAAGGAACAATAATAATAATATTGTAACGATAGAAGATAAGGGTCAGGCAACGGATCGTTTATTGAGGAAATCAAGTCATATTTATATATTTTTATGTACATTATTATTCGTTATTATTAGCAGAGAAACAGAGTCTTCTGATTGGTTGTTTTCTCGCTGAAAGTTATATTTATTCTTCGAAGGTCAAACCATATATCTGCGAATCATATCCGCCCACGCTCAGTCTGCTGTGATTGGTTGTTGAGTTGGTCTTTTTTCTTGCTCGATTCTCATGACCCCGATTTAGGGCGTAAACACTGACGTAAACTTGTTGTCTACCAATTTTGGCTAGCAGACAGCTCTCACCACAATATAATAAAATTAAACAAATAGCATGCCGATAAAGCTGTGGGCCAAATCGAAGCATCTATTCTTCTAAGTTATATTTCCTAATATATGTATATAACTAGATTGTATTGAGATATTGTTAATCTTTTTTCACTATTAAATTTTATCCCTACTCCATCAACAGATTCCTTTGTATCCTGTTTATCTGAATTGGATTTAAGCTGGAATCCGCATATATCTCCTAGTCAACTGGTGAATTTATTTTCTATGAACTCTTTAAAAGCTTTACGATGTCTACGTTTAAGAGGATGTTCTACACCGAATAATGTCAACATGTTAACATTGAATCAATGCCCAGTTAGTCTACCTATCGATTCATTTGAATTATCCTCATTCAACTGGTTATCATCAAATTATTCATCAACAATGCTTACAAAAGATATAGAGAAATTAAACAACTTTGATAAACCATCATCAGGGGATGAATTGTTAAAGGCGCTGTGTTCTGCTTTAATCAGTGTAAGCTATATATATATTATTTTTTTAAATGATTTTACACCTTTTTTATTAACTGATTAAAAATGCCCATTAAAAGCTCTTCATCAGGTTCTACAGTTATATATATATATATATACATTATAGTGAATGAATGAAGGAATTAGTGTTATGAACAACATTAATGCTGTTTAAATAACGTCGAATCAATACTATCAATGGATTACAGTTCAATTGCATCAACATAACAATAAACTGAATGTCAGAAATATTAGAAAAGATAATAATACAAATTCATGAATTTATAGTCTCTACTGAAGGCCGGCCAGGGCAGTAGCAGTGGCTGGTTGAACTTGCTTCTTTTGCACACAAACCACTGTTTATTTCACTTGAATTGCGATAGCCTCTGCTGTTTGGAGCATGTGGTGCTTCGATGGTTTTAGCAATTTATTTGGTACCCGGTTCTTTAATGCTGGCTGGTTTTGTGGCCGTTTTGGACCAGATTGTCTAATATTGAACTGTTGATGGTTTTTACTGCATCTTTTACTTAACCATAGTGGGAGATGTTCCCTAGTGAGCACGAGGAATTAAGTTCTTAGAGCAATAACGGCCTATATAACTCGCTCCACAAGCGCAGTCCAGTCACTGCTGCTGACCTGGCCTAATTCAATGGAGACTTTAAATTCAAGAATTTGTATAACCATCTTTCCTAAGTTGTCTGATATTCAGTGGGTAGTGTTACGTTAGTGCTATTGAACTGTAATCAATTGATATCATTATTGATTCGATGTTATTTAAACAGCAACATTAATGTTGCTGAAAACCCTAATTCATTCATTCACTTTTATGTATATATAACTGTAGAGCCTGATGATGAAGTTATCGAAATGAATGTTCTTTGTCCAGTATCCATTTTAGATATGATAGAGAAGATTTGTAGCTCAGGTGGATGATTTTGATGTGGTTGTGTTCTCTGAGCTGGATAGTGAATTTGCGAAGCTTTCATCACCCTACTGGGTGACATCTTCAGCGCATACTTCAATTCGAAGTGAGCTTTTAGATTTCTCCACAAGTTTATTAATCATCTCTCCTGGCGAACTTGGACGTGATTGGTTGTTTTTGTGTGTTTTCACACCTTCTAGGTTACTTGTATTGTCACTCATTGTTTCTTTGACTTGAACTTTGACCCTTTGTGTGTGAGGTTTCTTTCTTATCGGTTGATATATTTTGTCTATCTCGATGTGTCTATTGATTGATGATTCACTGGAATGCCAAGGCGGGTTTCTAAAAATTCTCTAGCATTCTTGTTGTTTCCTCTGTCTAATATTTGAACGTTGGTTGTCCCAGTCGAATTGATGTCCGTGGTTGTCTGTATGTAGTGAGGCGATATGAGGGAGTGGATATCATGTCTTTTGACAGCTAGCTTATGTTCGTGGATACGAAGACGAAGGGGACGTCCACTTTGGCCAATGTAGTGTTTTTCGCAGTTGATACAATCTGTTTTGTAGATGATGTTGGTTTTATCTTCTTTCGCTGTTGAGTCTTTTGGTTGACATAGAATTGAGTGAAGTGACTTTGTTGGTTTGTGTACGACGTCAATTCCTAAAGGTTTGAAGAGTCTTGTAGTGATTTCTGAGATGTCCTTTATGTATGGTAAGGCGATTTTCTTTGTGTTTTCCTTGGGGGCTTTTGGTTTGATAGGTTGGCTTGGGGGTATATGTTACTTCAAATTGAAGTATGCGCTGAAGATGTCACCCAGTAGGGTGATGAAAGCTTCGCAAATTAACTATCCAGCTCAGAGAACACAACCACATCAAAAGTATCCATTTTTCATTAACTTTGATAAATGTTAAAGAGGTCTTGTTAATCTGATGATTGTACAGATAGCAACGGAGGAATAATGGCTGAAGACAGATTGGATTGTTTACTCTTCAAAGTGTTCTGTTCGACCTAAGGGCGTGTATACTGCTCAGCAGCATTTCGCTCCGTCCTGCTTTATGGCTATCAGTGAGACATGGACATTGAAAGTGGAAGACATGAAAAGACTAGCTAGAGGTCTTTGATTATAGGCGTCTGCGTTTTATCTCCCGTGTTAAGTAGTCGGTGTAATAGGGTGAGTAATATTGAGGTTAAGCCTCATTCGAGTGCTAGGTAGTGGAAGGAAATCAATCGATGAGGTTGTAAAGCAGCTGCATCGATTGAGTGAGATGGTTAGGACATGTGTTACGTATAATAATATCTTTATATAGCAATACTTAATTCCAGGTAAACATACCTTTACCAAGTCTCTTCTGTTTTTTTTTACCGTTACACACTACTACACTGCCTCAGTGTCGGTGAGCAGAATGGAATTCTAACCTCCTGATGCACTTTTTTGAAGTCTAATGCGCGGTTGATCAACCAGCTCAGGGGGTAATCATGATTTATTCTTATGCTTACTACTGAATATTTCATTGCACCTAAAAGCTGAATAATCAAAATTATTTTCAGAAACACCCTGCTAACCAGTTTCAATCGGTTAATTGAAGTCGTTTTACTTTGTGCTTATTGGAATTGATTAATTGATTTCTCATGATCAAATTGTTAGAAACTATAAATTCAGGAGCAATGGATCTTTCAGTCTAATAGCCAAATAATGGTCACGGGCTTCTTTTTTATGTGTTATGTTACTGTCCTTAAATTGATCCTCTCCACTGTGTATGAGTCTTTATCAAAGATGAAAGTATGTTAGTCAATGCCTGTCTAGCTTTTGCAGATTTCAGTTTTTGAATAAATCCCTGAAATCCTATTCAGGTTTTGGTTTCCGAGGATTTGGTTTGCTTGGTTACAGGATTTCATCATCATCTGATATCGGTTAGAGAACCGTTGGAAAACCACCAGGGATATTGGACATCTGACTCATCCTGCTTCGGGATTCTTCAGCAGTACGCACCCATCGAGGTTTGAACCTAGGAACTCCCGATTACAAGATGAGCTCGTAGACCATTAAGCCACTGGGACCAGATCCAATAGCTCATAAATTCCAACTTGTGCCAACGCACAATATAGCGCGACCACTAGCCAATTTCATCGACGAGTGTATGTTCTTACACTCACCTGCTGTACCTCACTGGTCATGGCTTCTTACTTGAACCTAAGTCAGTACCTACCAGCGAAAGACAGCGGGCAGCGAGGAGACAGGCATAAAATGAACCCACACAAAATACTTCGAGGATCTGAACTTCGCCGATGATATATGTCTGACTTCCCAAAAACTGGATGATATGTCGATGAAAAGCACACAAGTTGGCAGAAGAAGCATCCAGAGAAGATAGGACTTCCTTCAGGTGAACATAGAGAAGACATTGGTGATGAAGATTCCTGGCCAACAGCAACAACAACCAGCATAAATGGGAGAAATCTAAAAGAAGCAACCTCCTTCACCTACCTACCTACCTGGAAGGCATCGTTTCAACTACAGGCGGATGGAACTGAAGAGGATATCAAAGCGAGGATCGGAAAATCAAGGCGAGCTTTCATTACTCTCAAGGCTGTGTGGAGATCAACAGCACTCAGCATGAAAAATAAGATGTGGATTTTCAACTCCAATGTGAAGTCAGTGCTACTACACGGATGAGAGACTTCGCCAGCGCGTCACGAAGACCACTTCGAACAAATTACTGACCTTCATCAACAGCTATCTTCGCTCCATACTCAAGATCAGATGGCTGGTAAGAAAAGATCAGCAACAGGGAGGGATCTCTGACAATGAACGAACCAACCCAGTAGTGACCGATTGTGCTAGAAATATGCAGGAAGAAATGGAGGTGAATTGGCTTGCCATAGTCTGAGGAAACTATCAGGTGAGTGACATCACACGCCAGGCCATCACTCGAGTGAAACCTGAATGGAAAGTGGCGAGTTGGTCGTCAGTGAGAGGATGACATGGAGGAGGAGGTCATGTGAAGAGGAGATGAAAGCATGTGGGCAGACGTGTAGCCAGGTGAAAACGTTGGCGGAGAAGCGAACGGAATGGAAACGTGCGGTTGAAGCCCTATGTTCCACTAGGAACTAAAGAAAACAATAATAATAATAATATCTCCCTCCCGGAAAGAGGACAAAACAGCTGTCCAATACTCCCAGGTTTTTCAATGGTCCTCTAACCGATGTCAGCTCATGATGAAATTCTGTAACCAATGAAATCTTATGGTTACATTTCGATAATGTTGTTTCCCTCCGTAGGTTTCGATGGAATTTTTTTCATGTATTTAATTCTTCCAAATTTATTTTTCATCTATCAAGGGGGAAATTCGTTTGCAAACACTGGATATGGGACATTGTCAATTAACCTATCATTCATTGACAAGTTTGAAAAGGTAAGCTTTATTACTATTGTGATTATTGCATTATCGTATTCATAGATAATGATGGTTACAAGATTTGCGGCTAACGATGCTGAAGTTAATCACATACTCTCTTTTATCGCGCATGTTGAATATGTTTAAAATAAACTGTATGAAGTGTCATGGGTAGCTTTTGTCCATTTCGTCTCGTATCATGTTATATCCTTTAAGTTGGCTAAGCCCCTATGTCACATTGATATCTGTCCCTATTGACGTTTTCAAGGAATGATCATTCCCTTGAACAGTTAAAAGTCTACCTGTTGACTACACCACCGTCTACACTGGCTTACTGCTTTCCTATGACCATCAGTTATAAATGCTTACAGAGATTGAGGTAGCCTTGGTTGGGTTAGATAATGATTTGGGACTAGACTACACCGACTGCTAGCCTAAAGATCTTGAGTGAAGCGGTAGAGCGTGTTGTCCACTTCACGTATTTGAGAAGTTGTATCAGTCCTAATGGAGGGATTGCTGAAGAAATCTCAACAGGCGCACAGGAAGCTTGCATAGCATTTTCCAACTTACGTCATCTGTGGCGCGTAGACATGATATCCGGATTAATTGGTGGATGGTGACTAGCAGTAGGATTCATGGTGCGCATTTTGTCCTATTAGGGACCCGTCATCTGGATGTACCTGCAGTCCGCAGTGAGTGATAATGTTCCCACCGAGACTCGAACCCAGTGCCCATAGTTTCAAACGCCAAAGCGTTATCCACTAGACCACTTGGGCTACGAGAGCCACCTCTTGTTCACTTCAGTCCAATCAGTCGACGGAAAAATCTAAAAATTCAATTAAATGATATCCGGATATTGACCAAAGGACAGGTGTGCGTTCACTCTGTCCTTCTTTATAGTTGGGAGACGTGGCGATTGAAATGGAAGATATGAAAAGGCTGATTAGATATCTCTGATCATTGGTGTCGTCTGCCTTCTATCTCGTGTGCTAGGTGGTGGTAGAAACAGATTGTTGATTGATGACAAGACTGATCGAAAATAATCACATGTCATGTTAACATAAATTTCACATCTTGATTTTGCATCCAGTATGCATTCTCTTTGTGAGATGTGTGCTCAACCATTCCCTGTCACTGTTTGCTCCAGTTAGCTAGGTCATCGGAATCACGATTAGACTGGAGAAATACTGAAGCTGGTTGGGATATGGTACCAGTCTATAATATCTTTTGAACACACCTTGAGCTGCAATCTACGAATGTTTGGCATGCGATTCGCTCACGCCAAATGTAAGATGATGAGGCTACAGAACTGGACTACACTGACTCCTAGTTTAGAAATAGGGAGTGAAGTCGTAGAGCACGTTGACCGCTTCACTTATTTGGGAAGTTGCATCAGCCAGTGCCAACGGGTTGATCTCTGACGAAATCTCAGCTCATACGGTTTGCATAGGCCAGTTTATGCCGTCTCTGGCGTGTGTACTACTCAGCAGTCCGCTTCGTACTCCTTTATGGCTGTGAGAGCTGGCCATTGAAAGTGGAAGACATGAAAAGCCTGGCCGGTTAGTTGTCTTTGATTATAGGTGTCTGCGTTCTATCTCCCGTGTGAAGTGGTATAATAAGGTGAGCAATATTGAAGTTAGGCGTCGAGTGATAGGTAAGGAGGGGAAATCAATCGGTGAGGTTGTGAAGCAGCTGGATCGATTGAGTGAGATGGTTAGGACATGTGTTACGTATTCCTAGTCATCGGCTTCCTCGATGGGCAAAGTTAGCTAACATGCTGTCAAACTGGAAAAGAGCTAGCGGCGGTCAAACCAAAATGTGGCATCAATCAATGAAATCCACAACATTTAGTTTATGCCACGTAGGAAGGTATAGACTTCCTGACTGTTTGGAGTCCTCGGGACGGTAAGAACCAATGGTAGCTGGAAACAATCGGTGATATGGCTCAAAATAGTTCTCAATGGCTTGGGCAGATGCATCCACTCCTTGTGACTTATAATTTCCAATGAAACTATATTGTTCTTCGTTATTACTATTCCTTTCGGCGCATATCCCTGTCTACTTTCTTCTCTTGCTTTGTGTGCTACAAGGAGGGAGTGTGGCGACTTGAACTGCTACACATCGGTGCAAAGTTCTATGTCGAAAACAGACAGACTCTAACTGTCAGTGTGAGCCTTGTGTAGGTTAACTAGTTTTACTCCATAGGCTGACGATAATATTGTCGCAGCCGATTCCTCCTCTTTGATCATTTTCATCCTAACTCGTCCCAGGACTCACGACTCATTATAATTCTTAGTCTGTCCCTTTGTCCCCTTTGTTACTTAGTACTTCCCCTTCATATTGCAGATTTTTCATAACTTTTGCTGTTAAGAACTAATGGATGAAGTGGGGTTCTAGCCTTTAACCCCTTGTACTTGAAAGCCGAGCGACTAATCACTCAATTAGAATGTTTATCCAAATCGTTGTCGTTGTGTTCCTCATTCTTAACCAACAATTCGACTTGTGTGTGTGTGTGTGTGTGGTCTTTAAAGTTGAATTCCTTATAACACTGGAACAATGTTTTAAGTATGTACTTTTTCCTTCTTCTTTTGTAGCTTATTCGGTACACCTGGATCGTCTATAACTACACTGATAATTGATCATAATCCAATGTTAAGAAATGTAATCATCTCAGATACACAACCATCTCCAGCATGGATTCGAGTACTTCAAGCCACTACTCAATCAGCTTCAGCATTGGTCAGTCTGACAATTGATTTGCCTCAGAGTAAGTTGTATTATTTTAAGCGTAAAAATTTTCAAATCACTTTATTAGAATGGTTAACAAACACCGGATTATTTAATAAGCTCTGGCTAGTGGTGAAAAATTCACACGATCCACCACTGCGTGGACCAGTGATACGGTGTTTGGCAAAGAACAGTCTGAATTTGCATTTATCGCATAACCTTCTTCAGCAGATCATACACATAAAACAGCTGACTAAACAGTGGTGCAACTCCTCGTTGGCTTTAACACTCGACTTTTAGTCGACGAGGAATCCTGTGTTTGCGTTCTGCTTGACCCTACTTCTACGTGAGCAGATGAGTAATGTCATCAACCCTTATACAATATGTGCAGCACATAGTCTAGTACATGAGACATCTGTTCTGAACAACTCAATTCTAAAGCAGGGCGGAGTGAAGTGCTGCTGAACAGTACAAAAGTCCCCCTGGTCGACCGCCGACCAGATACCACGTCTACTAAGTCAGAGATGGCGTTAGCTGATATATGCCGTTCCGAGATTTCGTCAGTGATCAACCCTCTGGTGTTGTCTAATGTAACTTCCCAAATAAGTGAAGTGATCAATACGCTCAGTCACCGTTTCACTCCTGCCTGTCTATAAGCTAGGAGTGAGTCGATGTGGTCCCGACGTGTAATTGTCATCTTACATTTTACAGCAGTAACAAATCGCATGTCAAATATTTAAAGATTGCTGCTCCTCAAGGTGGTCAGAAGACTCGGCTTTATTTTGTCAGCTTCTTCACCTAGGAGGAAAGACTATATCATCTGCATATTCTAAGTCAATGAAACTATTATTCCCTGTTGATAGCAAGACAATCTCTGAGTCACTGAAGTCAGTTAGGGTTAAGTCCATTGGTACATCTATAATGAAATGAAGTTCATCAATAGCACATGAAGTATAGACATGTAACTAGTTATGTATCAAGGTTTTAGTTTGTCTCTTGACAATGTAAACGCGTTCGTATTTCTCTTTGTAAGATTTAATGAATTCGATCCATGCATGATGCCTCTTTAGTTTGAGTTTATTGCCCAAATGTCTTTTTTTAACTTATGCGTCGGTGGCACAGTGGTTATCAGTGCACACATTAAGTAGAGGAGTTGCATTAGTAGAAGGAAGGTAAGATAATAGAGATGAAGATGAAGACAAAGGTGAGTGAGGAATAGAGAGGTTTCGTGTGCTCTTCGGGTTGTGAGGGCGATTGTTGCTTCCCGGCTGCCCACACCGTGGAAGTTGGTTGCGTGACCGCAGAGCCCAGGGGACAACTGCTTGAGGCCGGTCACACACGGCCTGTTTTTGTTTGTTCTTTTTCATTTGGTGTGTCTCAGTAGCGTATTTATCACTTCTGCCCTGTGACACGACAGCAGAAAGCGCGGTTGTTGTTAATCCGGGCCCCGACCGATCCGGCATGATATTTTGTGATTTGTTTGAAGTCATAGGATTGGGTTGGGTAACTGCTTTTAGTCTAACCGCTATCCGAACAACCTTCCTGGCATGGTAGGACCTGCAGGAACATAAGTTCCAGCCAGTATAACTTGTTGGGTCATTGCGGTGTTCAAGCCCGACCACCACGTCAAGGTAGCAGCTTTCGGTCGGGCACAGTGGTTAGGACTCTCGCCGACCATGCACAAAGTCCGGGGTTCGATCCCTTGCCGACGCACACCCGATATCTATGGTCGGCCTGTAAAATTTGTGCTACCGATATCCATGCTGAAAATTCCATACTTGTACTGAAAATACGGTGTGGCATCAAGCTGTAATCAAAATAAAAAATCCTGTGTTTTTAACCACAGAAGACAAGAGTCAGGCGACAGATCGTTTATTCAGGAAATCGAGTGAAATTTACGTATTTTTATGTACATTATTATTAGCGTTATTGTTAGCAGAGAAGCAATGTCTTCTGATTGGTTGTTTTTCTCGCTGAAGGTTATTCTGTCATCTCTTTGTTGTCGTTTCTTAGACAGTCTGTTGATATATATATATATATCTGCTAATCGTATCCGCCCACGCAAAGTCTGCTCTGATTGGTTGTGGAGTTCCTCAAGGTTAATCTTTGTTTTTGTTTTCTCTCCTGACCCTAATTCAGGACGTAAACATTGACGCTTAAATTGCTGTCTACAATTTTGTCTTGCAGACAGCTCTCACCATATGTGTTAGCTTCAGATACCGCTCAGTTATGTATATGAAAACTTTTAAACTGTAATTTACACTTGAATGTTTACTGTTTGTTTTTATTCTATCTCTGATATAGTTCCAGAGAATAATCCCGATGCTTTGACAACAGCATTCACTGCTGTTGAATCAAAATTGTTACCGGTTTTATCGCCGACACCTTTACAAGAATTAGTTATTGTTCATTATAAAGCTATTCACTGGACACCTCCTAACTTATGCATTGATAGTAACAATACAATAATAATAATAGTAATGCTCAGATAAATACAAATTCAAGCGATAGTATTCATCGTTTCTTATCTATGCTGTCAAATTTATTTACAACACGTTTTGGTAAAATGGTTAAAATTACTAATAAAAATTATCGTGTTACTTTTAGCATTTTGTGATAAAAGTATATTTATTAGATAGAAAAAAAGAGTAATATGAGTGCATTTCAACTGTATTTTGTCTTCTCTACTTATCTTTTCGTGGGATATAATATATGTAATAAATGTGTAAGATGTGTGCTTTAATGTAGTTAAGTTCACATGCCTAGTCTCTCACTTACATTTCTCTCATGTACCCCTATTTGTATAGATGCTTTCTTCTGTGATTTTCGTCTTTACACATATTTTTTTAAATATATATATGTATATATATAAATATATATCTTTTGAATATTTCTGTGGTGTTATGTATTATCTGTTACTTTCGTTAAAGTGTGTCGGTGGTTCATTGGTAAAAAAGAAAATACTCGTCAATTAATCATAAATATGTTCCGGTGTCCGATTCCCGGTCGATACAGACTCGTTAACCTCGCCTAGTGTTTGGTAGCTGGTAGAAAAAACGGAAGAGAAAGGGAACGTGATCGGTCGTGAGTGAGTGAGTGAGTGAGTGAGTGAGTGAGTGAGTGAGTGAGTGAGTGAGTGAGTGAGTGAGTGAGTGAGTGAGTGAGTGAGTGAGTGAGTGAGTGAGTGAGTGAGTGAGTGAGTGAGTGAGTGAGTGAGTGAGTGAGTGAGTGAGGGAGTGAGTGAGTGAGTGAGTGAGTGAGTGAGTGAGTGAGTGAGTGAGTGAGTGAGTGAGTGAGTGAGTGAGTGAGTGAGTGAGTGAGTGAGTGAGTGAGTGAGTGAGTGAGTGAGTGAGTGAGTGAGTGAGTGAGTGAGTGAGTGAGTGAGTGAGTGAGTGAGTGAGTGAGTGAGTGAGTGAGTGAGTGAGTGAGTGAGTGAGTGAGTGAGTGAGTGAGTGAGTGAGTGAGTGAGTGAGTGAGTGAGTGAGTGAGTGAGTGAGTGAGTGAGTGAGTGAGTGAGTGAGTGAGTGAGTGAGTGAGTGAGTGAGTGAGTGAGTGAGTGAGTGAGTGAGTGAGTGAGTGAGTGAGTGAGTGAGTGAGTGAGTGAGTGAGTGAGTGAGTGAGTGAGTGAGTGAGTGAGTGAGTGAGTGAGTGAGTGAGTGAGTGAGTGAGTGAGTGAGTGAGTGAGTGAGTGAGTGAGTGAGTGAGTGAGTGAGTGAGTGAGTGAGTGAGTGAGTGAGTGAGTGAGTGAGTGAGTGAGTGAGTGAGTGAGTGAGTGAGTGAGTGAGTGAGTGAGTGAGTGAGTGAGTGAGTGAGTGAGTGAGTGAGTGAGTGAGTGAGTGAGTGAGTGAGTGAGTGAGTGAGTGAGTGAGTGAGTGAGTGAGTGAGTGAGTGAGTGAGTGAGTGAGTGAGTGAGTGAGTGAGTGAGTGAGTGAGTGAGTGAGTGAGTGAGTGAGTGAGTGAGTGAGTGAGTGAGTGAGTGAGTGAGTGAGTGAGGCTAGCAAAGACAACAACAAAAAACACCGACACCATCGCTACTGAAACTTTAAGGTTCATGCTCTACTTGGAACGCTAGGAATGAAAAGGCTTTCTTGAAAGGATTCCAATTTTCTTTCACTCATAGCTACTTCCTATGTATAGTGTTAGATGATTGCATCTACATCTGCCTTTCAGGCGCTATCGACTATAATTTAAGTATGGCGAAAATATTCATTCAGACATCTATAAAAAACAAAATAATTGAGCAAGGAATATCCTTTTCGATAATTTCCTCCTATTCTGGCTCTACAATTATAAACATGTGTGTTTATATACATAGAATATTCTAGAATAGTAGTCAGTAACAATAATAGTATTCAAGTGTTGCTTTGTAGGGATTTGATTGGTTACAGGATTTCATCATGAGCTGACATTAGTTAGGGAACCATCAGTACGCACCCACACTGCGGGGTTTGAACCCACGACCTTCTGGTTACAAGGCGAGCTCGTATACCATTAAGCCACTGGGACCCAATCCAATGGCCCATGAATTCTAACTTCTGCCAGTTCACGACTTAGCGCAACCGCTAGCCAATGTCTTCGGCGAGTATTTATCCTCACACCCGACCTGCTGCACCCAACTGGTCACGACTTCCCTCTATAACCCCAGGTAACTACCTACCTGAATAGGGTTAGTCACCAGTAAGCATCTCATTGATATTCAAGTGTTGGTTTGTAGGGATTTGATTGGTTACAGGTGGGTGCGTACTCTGAAGAGTCGCAAACTAGGACGAAACAGCTGTCCAGTACTCCCAGGCTTTCCAATGGTTCTTTAATTATTGTCAGCTCATGATGAAATCCTGTAAACAATATTAGTCTTTTTAAATAATATCGATTTGTAAAGTAAGACCAATGCAATTACAGTTCATTAAAGATGCTTAAATAATAATAATAATAAAGATATAATAGCAAACAGAATATCAAATAAAATTAGGGAAATTTCCACAACGAATTGAGGATCATTCAAACCTAGATGGCTAAGTTATGCAAAATGTCTGATTTAGTTCCTAAAAGGACCTTATTCTTACAAATTCAGTTGCTCGGGGACAACATCAGCGAGATACTAACACAACGCCTTAGAAATGCGGTAAAATGAGCATTCCCTGCTGCTGAATTACGCTGTGTCTTCAAAACCGCCCACTCCTCTTTTGCGTTCAGCAGTAAAAGAGAAACTGAATGTCAGAACAATTTGGGAAGATAATTTTAATTCGCGAAAAATACCCATTAAGACATTGAAATAAGAACAAATTAGTTCAGCGAAGAGTCTCTTTTCGGCGAATTCATTCACTTAGCTGTACAGTCGCAAATATATACAATTAATTTTGTGTGTGTGTGTGTACATTAGGTTTGTCAAAATCAAAATAACAGTTAGTGTGGGTTGTTGATTACATCATCAAAATAATTAAGATAATTTTACAAATTCAGGAATTTATATTCGCCACTGAAGAAGGCCGGTGCAGTAGTAGTGGCCGGTTGCACTTACTTCTTCTCCATACAAAGCACTGGTTGTTTCACGCGAATTGCAAGAGCCTTTACTGTTTGGAACATATGGTGGTTCGATGATTTTGACAATTTATTTAAGTGACAAATGTTTTAATACATGTGAATAGCCTAGGTTAGGTTACTTACCAGATACTATCTAACCATGTGTGTACGCATTCAGAATGGTCAGTCAGTAAACTACAACTCTATGTGGTATAACAGACAAAGCAATAATCACACAAATAATAAAAGCTGAGCAGAGAAAGTATATTCACCAATAAATCAAATATGGGAAAGATATTCATTCAGAAATTTAGAAAAAAAGCAAGCAAAGAATATCCTTTTCGATAATTTCCTCTCATGGCTGTACAATCACATATATTTCTATATATACTCAGAGTATTCTAGAATAATTGTCATTAACAATGTCTACCTTAAGAGTTCGTCTACTACATATTGCTGAGGCTTTTGGGATCTACATTAAGAAATCTAACTTATGTATCCGGAAGAAGTTGGTTCAGACGCTTTCCTTACCTTGGTCAACAAGGTTTTGTAGAAATTCCCTTAATTTTATTTGATATTTTATTTACTATTACATTTTTATGCTTATTTCAACTTAAGCATCTTTCTTAAACTGTAATTTCATTGGTCTTAACAGATCGATAATATTCAAAAACACCTATATTGTTAATGACGTTTATTCTAGATGATTCTTTGTATGAAATCAGTTATGGGTAAATTTTATTTTGATAGAGTCTCACAGTGTTATACAGTAATATTTACTGAGGTCAACTACATAGGTCAAACTAGTAGGTCAGGGGTAGTCAGATTGTCAGAACATAAGAATTTAGCTAAGGTAAGAATGGTTGACCCAGAGAAGATAAGTAATTTAGAAAAAGCTCAGCAATTGCACTGCATGCATTAACACACAATAGGGTGGGAGAGGGTTAAAATTCTAAAAAGTAATCTAGGTAGGTGGAGAGAGAGAGGTTGATTACTGAATCCTTGTTCATCGAATCTACATCCAACACATGCAATAGGAATGAATCATCACTCATACCCGAGATATGGAAAATATTACTACCAATCAAATCAAGTGAAAAACAAAGGAACTATATAAATGAATTTAGGAAGTCGTGTGATTACCTTGATATGATTATGAGCAATAAATTGTGCTCGAAACGTCATCAGTAAATATTACTGTATAACACTGTGAGACTCTATCAAAATAAAATTTACCCATAATGGAATTACACTCTACCACAGTGCCCAAGTTTTATTCTTATATCGATGATACTTATGGTCTTCCTACCAGGAAGCTTATCAACAAACTCACACGACTTTGTCAAACTGAAGCAAGATTCACAAATCATCGGATTTTTAACAGTCGATGTTTAAAAAAATCATATAATTCCGAAATATTTACGTCTACGTACTCCAATTACTGCAAGTAAAATAACATCAGCTGCCGAAAATGTCAGTAGATTTTGTCTAAGAGAAGAATTATATCGAGTTACTGTGAAAATAAATAATATACGAAATGAAATTGAAAAACTCAAGCACAAACTCAAATATATGATCAATGACAAAGATTATACAATTATTCTTGAAATATCCAAAAATGCTAGAGAATCTGCATTAAGAAAATCAAAAAATTCAACAAACTTATTGATGAAAAGAACACAGCAAATGAAATTGATGTCAATGCTTCATCCTCTATCGACAAAACAAAGTGGGTGATCAACCTCTCATCAAGGGAACTAAGCTCCAGTGAGATAAAAGTACTGGAGAAAGGACTAAATTTCAACGTAACAGTTAATAAACTAAAACCAGAGGATGTCATTCCTAACATAGAAGTAGCACTAGGTTCAATAGATAAGACAACAGCAGAAGAGGTTCGAGCACAATGTGCATTAACCCTAAAAAATCAAAAGAAGGCAAAATCAAACTTGACAAAATCGGAAAGAGAAGCTTT